ACCGAAGCGCGCTCCCTAGGGGGTTGGGTGCAGGGAGGGGGGGGGGGAGTTCCCCCTCCTCCGCGAAGCGCGGAAGCTCTGACGTTTCAATCGATTATTAAAGAAAGAAGACGATTCGATGTGCCATTCTCGACTCTCAATCCTTGTCTGAATGCAGTTTCCCCCTCTCGCGCGAAGCGTGGAAGCTTTGACGTTTCATTAAAATTATTAGAGAAAGAAGACGATTTGTTGTATCGTGTCCTTGTCTGAGTGCAATTCGCCCCCGCCTTCCCGCGCGAAGCGCGGAAGCTTTGACGGTTCAATAAATTATTACTCTTAATCCTTTTCTGTATTCATTTTCGCCCATCCAGCGCCAAGCGCGGAAGCTTTACCATCATTCATGAAATTATTAGAGAAGAAAGACGATTTGTTGTATCGTGTCCTTGTCTGAATTCAGTTTTCCCCCTTACGCGCGAAGCGCGGAAGCTTTGAAGTTTCATTTGATTATTACTCTTAATCTTCGTCCGAAATCATTTTCGCCCATCCCGCGCGTAGCGCGGAAGCTTTCACGTTTCATTAAATTATTAGAAAGAGAAGATGATACGTTGTATCGTGTACTTTGACGTTTCATTTAATTATAACTCTGAATCCTAGTCTGAATTCAGTTGACCCCCTCCCGCGCAAAGCGCGCAATCTTTGCCGTTTCACTAAATTTTTTGAGAAAGAAGACGATTCGTTGTACTGTTCTCTATATTAATCCTTGTTTAAATTCAGTTTCCTCACAAGTCATGATGTATGTATGGAACGTTCGTTCGCAAATATTTGTATGCACAGCCCAAGACAGTGGTGGGTATCATCTCCCGGCAGTGCTTGTCGCAATAGCTTCTGGAAAGGATTGTATACTACTGTTAGTGTTAACGGCCACTAATTTGGCCCATTAGTGACTATACAAAATATATGCTCTTCCTGGCTATTTGGGAATGTGTCAGTTTGCAACAGAAATGGAGAAACGCGAATTTTGTTGAAAATCATGTGATATCACGAACATTTATTAATCACTTGTATGAAATTGAGAATAATTCATGGTTAGATTTTATTGGGGGGGTTGAACCAACCAGTACGCCAGTGACATAGGCCTAAATCAGCTTTTCAATAAAACAAAAATAAGTTATGTCATAATAATCTTTCTCAGGAAATAAAATAAAAATAAAGATACAATGACGTGAATTTTAAAAAGGGTGAACGGAAACAACATAACAACTAGTGAACTATCTTATAAGTCATACTAATGTCCGAAAATCTTTCCCCTTGTCTCCGATCTCATCACGAATTCGTCACAGAGTTCATTTATGTTTACAATGTACAGGATGGTCTGATGTTGCAGATTGCTACTTTTGCGCTTCGCGCTTAACATTTAGCTCGTTGCTTTTTAACGCTGCGTCTTTGCATTTGGCGCACTGCATTTCTATGATGCTGTCGATTTAACAAATTAAATTAATTCATCAATTCCTGATGAAGCCGTATGATCGAGAATTTAATTTATTCTTGTCTCATATACGGATGTCTCATTTACTTCGTATATGTATGTGTTATGAAAATGAGATAGCAAAATGTGTATATTGATGGTCATCTTGCGAGTAATAACCAGGCTCTCATCATTAATTTTTCTCTTATTTTTTTTTAGGGTGAATCATTGGGGGGCGGGGGGGGGGATGATTGTACAGGCCATCCCCCCACCTGAAATATTGGGGGGGGGGGGGATATATCCCCCCCCCGGGATCGACACCCATGCCCGTAAGTGATATTTTCCTGGCATCTACTAAAACAATGGAGACCATAAACAGCAGTTCATGATAACGTATTTTTAAATCAAGTAACAGTGTGAGGGGGTTCGACCCAATGACGAAGCGGAGCATCCTCCACGAGCCGCAAGGTCCGAGCCGCGTAGCGGCGAGGCGATTTTTTTTTTTTTTTTTTTTTTTGGGGGGTGGGGGGGGGGGGGGGCTATTTTGAACCCCGTAAGTGATGTTTTCCTGGCATATACTAACACAATGGAGACCATAAACAGCATTTCATGATAACGTCTGTTTAAATCAAGTAACAGTTTGAGGGGGGTTCGACCCAATGACGAAGCGGAGCATCGTCCACGAGCCTCAAAGTCCGAGCCGCGTAGCGGCGAGGCGATTTTTGTTATTGCTATTTTGAACCCCCGTAAGTGATGTTTTCCTGGCATCTACTAACACAATGGAGACCATAAAAAGCAGTGCACGATAACGTCTTTTTAAATCAAGTAACAGTTTAAGGGGGGTTTGACCCGATGACGATACGGATACTGTGTGGGTCTGGACACATGATGGCGTTTTTCTATTCACATCACATTTTCACTTGGCAGCCCAAGTGGGGGGGGGGGGGGGTTTAACCCCCTAACCCCTCCCCCATCCCCCCACAGATCTGCCACTGGGATCTTTTGCAAACTGGAAGCAATAAGCATTACATGTAGGCGATGGAAAAAAAGTGCTTGCGAAACGGATAGAAACTTCGCGGCCACAGGGATGAGAGAAAATAATATGACAATGAAACCAGCAACTGTGGCAGGATTAATGGCGGGGACAATCTGCATGCTGAAAGAGCACTTAAAATAGGTATATCGGAAAATTAATTCAAGGCTAAGTTATAAGTTAGAAGTTAGAAGTTATAAAGGAGATAAAATATTTGGTATTAGTCATGTTCGACTTAAAATTGCATGCCCCCCCCCCCCGCCCCTTACCCGGTAAAAAAAACACCTTCTTATAATATCATCCCCCTTTCTATCTTTTCCATTATTCTCCTTTTCCCCCTTTTCTCTCCTCCGTCTTTCCGCCTTTCTTCTTTTTCCGCTTTATTTTTCCTCTCTCTTTCACTTTCCCCTCCTTTTTCTCCTTTCCCCTTTTCTTTCCTCCCTCTTTTCTTCTTCTTTCTCTCTTCCTTTTTTTCTTTTTCCTCTCCTTTTTCTTTCCCCTCCTTTTTCTCCTTTTCTTTTTTTTTTGGCCGGGGGGGGGGGGCACGTGCCCCCTGTGCCCCCCTCTGGATCCGCCACTGTTATTGCCCTTCATCTCAGCATTATGCCCAAACTTTTTATGTTTATAAATATTATGTTTACAAGTGCTAAATTATGTTATTGTTCCGTATACACTTTTTGTTGTTGTATCGGAGTGAACGGGCTCTATTAAAGAATCAGTTATTTCTATATACTTAGGAGGGGGCGGTGCAGACGTAAATATTATACAACTTGTGGCCCAATCTAAATCGAGGCCAATTCAGCCAGGATAATTAATCATATAGAATAGAACACGACAAAATAAAAAAACAACAAACAAAAATAAGCCTACATTGGCCTAAGACGATCGAATGACATGAAACAATCAGAGCCAAGACACAGATTCATGTCTTTGTTTTTCATTCCCCTTTTTTCTGATCTATCTCTCTCTCTCTCTCTCTCTCTATCCCTCTCTCTCTCTCTCTCTCACCCTCCCTCCCTCTCTCTCTCTCTCTATCCCTCTCTCTCTCCATATCTCTCTCTCTCTCTATCCCCCTCTCTCTCTCTCTCTCTCTCTCTCTCATTCTTTCTCTCTTTCAATCTGCATGTGAGGCGAAATTCTTTCAGTATAGAGCCAACTTTGAGACAGAGGTGCAGAAAGCACACTGAGCTGGGACTGCGCATGTATACTATTTAACCGCATAATTATATAGATTATAATCTTCCAAGTATAGTATTATAACGAAACAATTTAAAAAGTACGGCGATACACCAACACAAAAAGGTGGCAAGTACATCTACAGAAGAAGAAGAATTCAGTGGGCAATGATACTTTTATTTCCATGACACCAATCTATAATACCCCCAGCTTATACTTGCATCACAACCACCCAAACGATTTAGGTTTGCTATAGCTCTTTTCTACATAAGAAATGGGTGGGGGAGGGAAAGGGAGAGAGAGAGAGAGAGAGAGAGAGAGAGAGGGAGAGAGAGAGAATGAGAGAGGGGGTGGGGAGGGGGACAAACAGAAAATGCGTTGTGTATACGACCGTTATTATAGGCCCTATGTTATAGGAAACGCAACGAAACAATAAAATTATGTAATTAGTTTACGATATAAAAAATTGATATACAGTGCGTCCCAGAAAAACCGAAACCGAGAAGTATCGATGTTCTATCATAACTTAATCAAAACTATGATTAATGAATGATACATATTTGGAAAGCTTAGAGTCTCCTCTTTCAGATGATGCTACTCAGATAATGCATATTTCACGCATGAGTGATTAAAAGCAATTTGAAGGAAGAAAACCAAAAAGACATTTGGCGGGCGGTATCTGAATTCCGAAGAAAAATTCACATTTCTAGAAAGTTGAGTTTCTGCCCTTTCATATGACACCTCAATCAGGAAAAATGAGCGAGGAATGACAAAGTTCTGTTTGTTTAAGGTAGTGCTTGCATTTCCATAATTTCATAAAACGAATTCGTTTTCACTTGCTGCCTGCCGTATCAATAAACAAAATTAAAAAAAGATTTAACTCCGTTTCGTTGACAATCAGCCGTAGACGAGAGTCTTCATGCATGGCTGATTGTCAACGAAACGGAGTTAAGTCTTTTGTCAAATCTGCATTTTGCTACGGCAGGCACCCAGTGAAAACGAATTCGTTTGTTAAAATTATGAAAATGTAAGGGCTACTTTAAACAAACAGAACTTTGTTATTCCTGGCTCATTTTTCTTGATTGAGATATCATATGAAAGAGCAGAAAATGAACTTTCTAGAAATATAAATTTTTCTTTGAAATTCAGATACCGCCCGCCAAAATACTTTTTGGTTTCCTTCCTTCAAATTGCTTTTAATCACTCATGCATAAAATATGCATCACGGGGGTAGCATCAACTGAAAGAGAAGACTCTAAGCTTTCCAAATATGTATCATTCATTAATTATGGTTGTGATTAAGTTATGATAAAACATCGATACTTCTCGGTTTCGTTTTTTCTGGGACGCACTGTATAGAACCAGTGGAATCATTTCAAAATGGTGGCAGGCTTAACGAAAAGGCGTTTAGAAGGAAAACATTGTTATTTATTTGTTTATTTCTCTTTAATTTTAATTCCTTCCCCTCCCCCTCCTCCTCCCATAGACACCCGTACGCCAGTGCTTGGAATGGGGGTCAGAAATTAATAAATAAAATGCACGTCCTATATTATAGTCATAATGAATAAAAGTCAAACATGAAAGCGGTTCACTGGACGATAAGCGATGTGTGGGCGAGTTATGGTCGAGCTTGCTGGGATCGTCACCACTGACGATTCGTCGACACCGTTATCGGAGCATTTGAGTTTGTTATAGAAGCGATGCGGTGGGTGAATTACGGTCGAGCTTGCTCCTTGACGTCCTCACCAAAGCATTTGAGTCTGTTATGGAAACGATTTTTCTTGTTGAAAGGTTGACGAGCAATGCACATAGCGAGGTCCCGGTCGCACTTGCAGATAGCCACGGAGCACTTGGGTAGGAAGTCGTACCAATAATACTTATCAATGCCGGCTACGGGAGAGAGAGAGAGAGAGAGAGAGAGAAAGAGAGAGAGAGAGAGAGGAAAAAGAGAGAGAATAAGAAACGCTGTCAAAATGCATGGATGGTTTATGTATATGGTTTATTTTATTCCTATATCCCCCCCCCCCCCCCTCCACACCCCATCAACTCTGGGCCCTTAGCCCCCTTTGTATTTCATTCACCAAAATAGCATAGAAAGGCCACATTGATAGCTAGTGCCCAATCATTTTTAATGCTGCCCCACTTTATACTTTGAATGCCATCTTGATTAATATTATTTTGACGATGCTTGTCAGGAAATTTAAAACATAATTATGGAACAGGTACTATTTGTAATCCCTTTCGGAAAAACAGATCTCCATTTTCCCTGTTTGATCACATTTTTCTCTTGTTGATAAAAGTGATCAGCTACTTTGAGGGAAAATTATCAGAGGAAATTCTGACATAGCAACACATATGTTTACAAAGTGGATTCCACCCTTGGATGTGGCATCATTCATAGCAGGTGAGTGAAATTGAAATACATTAGTATACAGGTCTGTTGACTAATTTCAAGACGGCATCATAATATTCCATATCAAATATGTATATAAATATGTATGCGTCCTTCTTAAACAAGGATTTATAATACATACCACACGTAATGTGGGCATCCTCTGTATCACATTGATGAAGGTTATATTTATAAGGTGCAATATAGGCAGTGATGGTTAAGTAACAAACACCACCCTCTATCAGATTGGTTGCTTCATAACACTTATCGTGAGTCTGGCAGCATCTGAGGATGAAATAGGAGGAAAAGCACATAGGAACAATAACTAACATTTTATTCGAATTTAAGGATGTTTCTTTCCTGCGGACCTAGTGACGAGGTATTCCATTAACCTGTTTTTTATGAAAGAACTACAATACTTGGAATCCAGTCTGCATACATTACTTGGTGATATTGATCTCACTCTTATTTTTATTATTATATACTGTGTGCATGATTTATTGAATAAAGAACAGATGTATAAGTTGTGTGTTTATGATAAATTTTGGTAAATAATTTTATAGTCAGACTATGGTGCGTTTAGAGACACCCGTATTAAGCGCCTAATAAATATTGTGTATTATTATTATTATATGTCGGTCAAACATCGGGTTGTCTCTAAACAGTATGTTTAACACTTGAATAATTATGTTAGTATAAACCGGTCTATTAGCAAAATATAAAGTGGATATAAGCCTATATTCTGATTATTTTTCCGGGGATGTAGATGTCCGGTGTGACTAGTCAAGGAGGTACAGTTGTCGTAAAATCCACAATAATAAAACAAACCTGTCGACTCCATCCACAGGTTTGCCGAAGCCACCAAACCCACAATAGCAGCCATAGAACCCGAAATCCACCAGTGTTTCTAGGAACGTCCTATTGGTGGTACAGCTCATCATGTTGCCCAAGAAGACCAGAGCTCTATCGTTCACCATATGCGTAACGTCATCAGACTGGGATGTCTTATCATACAGCACGGCTCCAGCTAAAACATGAAGAAATATCGAAATAAAAATTAATGCTATGTGTGCGGTTCTAGGACTCCTACCCCTTGGACATCCACCCCGGATAACCACCCCAGTCACCTACCCCCTAGGACAACTATACCCCCTAGGGCAACCACCCTCTAGGACGACTACCCTCTGGGACAACTACCCCCGGACAACTACCCCCGGTAAACTACCCCCTAGGACAACTAACCCTAAGACAACTACTCTCGGACAACCACCACCCGGACAAATACCCCCCCAGACAAGTACCCCCTACGACAACCATCCTCTAGAAAACTACCCCGGAAAAACTATCCAAGGGGTTGGTGTCCTGGGGTAGTTGTCCGGGGGTAGTTGTCCTAGGGGGTAGTTGTCTGGGGTTAGTTGCCTGGGGGTAGTTGTCCTTGGAATTAGTTGTCCTAGGGGGTAGTTGTCTGGGGGTAGTTGTCCGGGGGTAGTTGTCCATGGGGGTAGACGTCCGGGGGTTGTTGTCCATGGGGTAGTTGTCCTAGGGGGTAGTTGTCTGGGGGTAGTTGTCCGGGGGTAGTTGTCCTTGGGGGTAGTTGTCCTAGGGAGAAGTTGTCTGGGGGTAGTTGCCCGGGGTAGTTGTCCTAGGGGGTAGTTGACTGGTGGTGGTTATCCGGGAATGGATATCGGGGGGGGGGGGGGTAGGTGTCCGGATACGTATGTGTGCATGTGTGTGTAATTGGGTTTTTACAGACGTGTATCAATCAGATATGATTATTTACGTCTGGGGACCGACCTTTAACGTCACCATCCAAAAGACGTGACTCAGTTTCGAACCGGGGTCCACTGAGTCAGTTTGTAGGCATAGACAGAGAGCTGATCAAGTGACGTGCCGCTAGACCAAGACACATCTCCCTTATATTATAAATGGAAATCACTTCTCTACAAGTCAATTAAGATAGATTGCACCAGATTTTATGCATTTCCATGCCCTAACACTATGAACATGATGGACAAGGAAAGAGGACAAAATAAACAGTTCCTGATTCTACCCTCAACAATTGCTGTGGTAGACAAAGGACATCCCTTCACTGCTACTATGTAAAAATGTGTAGAACAGGTGAATATGCATGTATCAGAGCTGTAATAAGCAACTAAATATGGCATTTCCATCGAGAGGTTCATTTTGTAAAGGCTCAAATCATATAATAGTCATACCATATCCGCGGAAATAAATTCCATTCAATACTCTTCTAGAGCTTGTAACCATACCTAACATTAAAAAATAATGTATAGAATTCTAATAAAAAAAGTCATCATAATATATACAAAACAAAAGGGGAAGTGTTTATATTGAGATTAGTTTCTAGCCCTTTAGAGGAAAGACTATTGGGTAAGGCTAGATTTCAAGTTCTAGTTATCATAGAGGTAGCAACAAGAAAAGGTTTGGAGTTTAAACTAAAAGCAAACATCATAGAATAATACCAATTACACAATTAGGCGGTTTCTTTTTACTAATGGTCGAATGATGAAAGTTTTATCAGTGATAATATATCCGCACCGGAAGAAAAAAAACGTAAAAACATATTGTTCTAACAGACTCAATAATGATTCAACTCGAAGGTGGTGAAGGCCTATGTGTTTATACAAACAAGAATGACGTAGATCGTTGCAGGAACATCGTACAGCATGGCCTTTCTCAATGATACGTACAAGATAAGAAAAGAATACAATGACGTTCATGTTCAACATATAATAGCATATGACAATGGTAGTTATAATTGACTGGTTACCACTTATACCAAGGAGTTTTAAGAGCTGGAGTCCAAACTCGCAACAATAATTATGCAAAGCAGCTGCCGTTTTCTAAGGTTGCACAATAGAATCTACAGGTGTGCTGAAGCACTGTGTAGGCCTACTACTCGTATTATCAGACGAGTAGTAGCAAAAAGTATTTATCATTACAAAAACATGTTTTTCTTTGAAAGTGGCCCGTTAGTTTGCAGCTAGGCAGGAACCTTTTGTCTACGTATCTGCAAGGAAGATCCAGTTAAGCACATGCCAGACATATTTTCTACTGGCGGCTTTGAAGATGGTTCAAAGGGAATGAGCTAGACATGACTCCATCTCTTAAAACTCCTTGCTTATACCAACAAACAACAACAACGACGTTCCAAATCGTTTCATCACATTATTCACAAGCATTCAGATTGAGTGCGTTTGCATGCACTCAATCTGAATGTGGTCATTCTGAATTATAAAAACTGTCATACTCACCGATGGTATGTGCTGCAAGTAGAAGAAAGCCAATCAGATGAATGCAAGCCATTATGATGATGCCTATTAATAAGGTTGAATTTTGCAGGCAGAAACCTTCAATATCAAAAACATCAAATTCTGTGATGACGCAGTTTTACTAATACATGTCATGTATCTATTTCGCTCGTTCTCTTAAAGGCACGTTATGTTCACAAAGTGGATCAGTATTTATTTGGGTACATTTATTTGGGTACAAATTCCAGCACAGATATTGTAAAGTTCCAGATGGCTTTAATTCAACACCCGAATTAACACAAATAACGATAAAAACCTCGTGACAATATTTGCTCGTGACGAAACCATGTTCAATATTGTTAATTATAACTTTCAAAATGAACAGGAAATACCACGCTGGTGCGTAGAGAATAATGGTATGCGTGTACATGCATTGCGTTGATAAATTACTTTATGGAAAAGTTATAGTCCTTTCACTTTCGATGTCTTTTTGTTTTTGGACGCAAGTTTAAGTTCCGTACGTGTGTGTTCTGATACCCTAGTTGCTCACCCAACTGATTAACATTAGAATGGAGTTGCTGATTTTGTATTCGAAATCGACGCGTTGGAGTGTAAACTTGGAGGAATTCGGGCGTGATTTATCATAATAATAGATCACCACATAATGAGAAACAAAATCAGACATCGTTAAGTCACGGGGTTTCATTCAAATTTATTTATTTATTCAATGAGTACTTCGTACACTATAAGCGAAGAGCACAATCAACAAGTTGCTAAAGTACGGACAGGGCCACCCCCCCCCCCCCCCTCCACCCACCCACGGGGGGGGGGGGGGGTCACTCCCAACATGACTGGCTACGCACCCGCGTCCAGGAAAGGCGTCGAAAGGGTGTCTTGTTCAGCTATACAGCGTCATCGACGTTTTCCTTACAAAGGGGTGTTTTTCAAGCACTGATCGCACAAAAACCCCAAAAGGGTATCTTTTCAGGTTCACAAGTTTCGACCTTTTCTTACATACGCCATTAGGGTCCATTTCAGAAAAGGTGCGATACGCCATTAGTATCCATTTCAGAGGTTGATGGACACGGGTGGGTAGCACTTGTGTATGAGAGTGGGGGGGGGGGGAGGGGCATCCTCCATGGAAGCATGCAGGAAATTATGGTCAAACTGTGAGTGCATGCTCTGTAATCTAAAACAATCTTGTTGTAAAACATTACGGATCAAATCAAGCTCTATAATTATATACTCGAAATCAAGTACAACTTTTCAATTTTACAACTCTGCACCAATGATATACTAGAGATGCAAATCTGGACCATCAACCCGAGGCCGGGTGCAATGGAGGTTAAACTTGGCCGATTTGTTCACTTTTACACCACTTTTTTTTTTTTTTTTTTTTTTTTGGGGGGGGGGGGGGGGCTTTCTAGAAGTGTGTCTTAATTGACATCCTCTTTCACATTATGATACAATTTAAGTTATGTTTGGCCATCGAATTTTTGGCGAATTTTAGCTGCCGACACTTCAGAGGGGCTTTAAGTTTTAACACTATTGCATCTGTTCGTTTCTTTGCATTAAAATGTCCATGACATTATTGTGACTGAAATCATACAAATGAGACAAAATAATGCAGATAATACAAATTTACGATTACAATGGATTAAAAAGTGTAGATCATATTGGTATTGAAACAAGGGATAAATAATTTGTTATTGCAATGTTAAATGATGATAATGATAATAATAATAATAATAATAATAATAATAATAATAATAATAATAATAATAATAATAATAATACAAGTTATAATAGTAATAATACAAGTTATAATAGTAATAATAATAGTATGATACTAAGGATAATAATAATAATAATCTATCTTGTTCACCCATGGTAGACTCATCAGTATATTGTTCTGATGACACTGTAATCGTATACATAAAAAAGTATGAATTGTAAGAGAGTGGATGTTTTTAACATGTCCAGATTTTAAACATATATTATACTCAGGGACAACCATGAGCGTAATCAAGTTACAGTGCTTACATAATATATACAACTAGATAATCACCTGGTAATAGGTAACTGAACATCTCCCTCACACTCTTAACCCTAATAAGGCCGGGGCCATAATGCCCCCCCCCCCCTGTCGAATTTTTGCCGATGCATCAAAACCCCTGAACCTTTGGCGCTGAAATTTCATGAGTTTTTTTCTCTTATGTCCCTCGCACATTTTGATACCAAATTTGTTATGGGGAGACCTATGGTTCGGGTGTTAGGTGACAAAATATCATCATATGTCTATCAAAATATGTAATTATCACAAATGTGCGTGTGTAAGTTTTTTATTTCCAAAACAAATTTGCATATTGTCATAAAATTATTAATAAAAATAAATAAATAAACATAAAAGAAAATAAACATTACCATCTTATTCAATATAGGCCTACTTCAATCTATCACCATGCTAATTTTCACATTAATTGGACCTTCCTAGGCCGAGATCTTAGGGGGGGGGGGGCAAAATCACACCTCTGCGTATTTGGCTTGCGTATTTATGGCAAGCCGTTTTGATATGAAGAATTCAATTCTTGATATCAAGAAATAGGAATAAATGTAAAAACGGCTTGCCATAAATACGCAGCAATACGCAAAGGTGTGATCGATGCACAAGAGATGAAGTCTAATCGGAATTCATTTTGCTGAAAATAGAAAAACACATTCGTCATTAACGAGTACTGTATAAAGAGAGATACAATGATACAACAATCAGTCAATCAATGAGTACATTTCAAACTTGCACCTTATTTATACATGGTGAATAATATGCTTGTATTTTCTTAAAGTAGTGTTCACACTAAATACTTGCATATGGAGACTGTACGGGTTTGTTTAAATTGTCTTTCGTGCCGTAGTCATTGCCATGTTCATCATTAAAATGTGACCTCATAGAATTGCGATCATCAGCACATACCATGAGCGACGTTTCATCCTCAAGACTCTTCTGCTTGGACAAGAGCTTGCTTTTATCATTATGCATCATACCACCGTTTGCAGCCGGTATGGTCCCATCTGCGCGCGAAGTTTTGTTCGGTGCAGGCGTCAGGGGTATAGGCGGTGGCGGCGGGAACTTGAAAAGTGGCTTGCTGCGTTGTTCGTTGTTCTTCTTCGGGCGGGCAGGGGCAACAGGTGGCTTTTGCGCGGCGACGTTCGAAGACGACCGCGTTACCGTCGTCTTCGTACTCGGCTTCTCACTCGGCTTCGTACTCGGCTTTTCATTTGGAGTTGCGATCTGCTTTTCACTCTGCGTTGCAATTCGCTTGTCGATCTCCTTATCGATCTGTCTTTCGGTCCGGGTCTCTGTCTCGTGATTCCCGTCGGAGATTGGAACTGAAAGCGAAGGCGCGGATAGCGGTGAGCGGACGAGATCTGCTGGGGTCGGTGGAAGCGCCATGTTGGCTCTGGAAGCTTTGATGAGAGGATCGGTGCTGAGAACAGAACTGGTCCGTCTTGGAGATGGCATCGGGGAATTACCTCCTGTCATGGTCAGGTAGGCTGATTGGACAGAATCCAAGCGAGCCAAGTTGGAGATTTCATAGAGACTTTCCACCCCACGCTGTCGCTTACGCCTATCCCATGTTCAAAATGTGTGGAAGACAAGGAATTGAATGGAACCGTCAAAAATACTTCTTCGTAAACTTGAAACTTTTAATTATTTGGAATGGCAATATGCTTTCTGAATTAGTAAGCTCTCGAATAAACTTTTAATAATTTCCTTAAAAACCTTCTGTGTTGTGCCAGTTATTGTAAGTGACGTGTGGAGTACACGTAATTAGATGGAGCCGATAATCATATAAAAACTTATTTTCAGAACGCTAGATTATTACCTATAGGAAAAGACTGATCGACCTCGTGATCATAAAATGATCAATAGCTTCTTTTCGCCAATTCTGACTTGAACTGAGCACAATAAGTCCTCATAATATGAAGTATTTTTCCATTGCGAAATTTGCCGACTGGACGCCGGCATTCTTGACTCTCGTGTCTACGGATTATCCTAATCGGCCGAAACACCGTCTTATATTTCATATTCATGAATTTCATTTTACAATTTCGTTCCACCACGACATCAAATGGAGACTATGATAGAATTGGAGATCACTTTTGATATGACTTACCGAATTAAAATGAAGATGGCAAAGATAAAGACGGCGACCCCTATAACAACCAATGCTGATCCAATCCCGATGATGGTATAGGAGTGTGTAGCAGCTGAACGGTAGGCAGCTTGGAACAAGTAAAGCAGGAATACATTTTTTGTAAGAGTTGCCGTCAAAAATTGAAATTATGAATGGAGAAGAAGATTAAGAGATTTAAGATTATTAAATATCAGATATTTAATTATGAAGTAGCCAATAATTATATAGACCAGGTCAAACGTATTTCGTGCCACACTATGCAAAGGGATGTTTTGATGAACAGTGGAGGCAGGTTGTAACCCGATGATTATTACTCGATCCACCCCTCTCTATTACACCAGCTGGCTGTGGATTTATGAAACAATGTACTACACATTAAATTTTGCCATTTGGTTGGGAACGAGTGCAACCCATACCCCCTGCCGCTACGTCATTAACGACGACGTTATGAGGAAGGGTATAGGGTAAAGATCATGATGATGTTTTTTCTTCTTCAACTATTTGGGAACCAGCAACTTTATCAAAAACTGTTTGCCTAATATTACTCTACCCTTGTCTATATCACATGACTGTGGATTTAGAAAATGATTACTGCACAATTTTATACTTAATATTAAAATCTCAACTTTTTACCTGAGAGAGAAGCACATGGTATATAATGTGAGTTCCATTGACCATTGTGATTGCAAGTCCACGAGGTGGACCATGGTCCGTCCGTACAAGCAACACGAACTACCTCGTTAAACGAGTAAGAAGTGTGCGGCGACACAAAGTGTGCACCAAGTGGAGCCTGGTCTGGTAACGTGCAGTTCACCTCTAAAAAGAGCAAAGAAAAGATACAAATTGTCAAAACATGATAAGGACATAAACAATTAAACATGGTGGTAAATTAGGTGACTATAAGTGACAAAATCATTATATAACTCCGATACTGAAACGAGAATAAAACGAATTTTTAATCATATCTACATATTTTTTCCAATATTTTACTTTTTTCCCCCTTCAACGTAGTGATAGAGCGGAATGTATATTGTATATTACCCACTAATCATAATCATATCTGCGTCACTTTATTAGATATTCAAAGATAATTGTCATAAAGGCATATGCATTTTTGCTAACTGAAAACTACCATATATAGTCTTTTATTTATTTTATTATAATTGTATCCTATGTGCCATTCTATTGTACCTTCTATTGTATGTTTGAAATGCCAAATAAATAATAATAATAATAATAATCTGGGAAGACAAGAAAAAGTATTTAAGACGGAGTTTAAATTGTTAAAAAATGCTACAACTGTTAAATGTACGTATGAATATTTGTTATTACATATAATAATATTGAAGTTAAAATTGATCTTGAATTAATATTTGGCATACCTTGATCGCAGAGCTTGCCTGTGAAGCCTGGAATACAGATACAATGAAAGGTATCTCCTGAATCAACACAGATCCCTTGATTACATGGATAAGTGAGGCATAGAACTGATGTCAGAAGAAGAAAACAAAAATGGACGGATAAAATGGCTATTAGCGAAAGCACAAGCAGGCCCGGTCTTCTTAAATAAAATGTATACTCAAAAAGTTTTTGGGGACTTTAAGGATTCTAGAAAAGAATGCTCTTAACTACCTCTCTGGGTGACCCCCCCCCCCCCCCCCCCGTCCCCCACCAACTCTTCAGCAAAAAATTCTCCAGAGGAAAGTAGACATCCTCGGACAAGGATCCCCGGAAAGCAAGAGTAATTAATTGTCCTTAAGATGGGTACCCCGGGGTACTCTATGGATCAGTAACATTAAATGCCTTTTAAGTGACATATCAATTATTGGTTTGATATTACTGTAATGGTAATGATAAAGTCATGGTCATACTAGATCCTTTGACCGTTGTATTTCCATAGCATCTGTCACATCCACAAAACATCTTGACAGGGTGCCAGTCCCGGCCCCCCACTCAGGTTTCGAAATGACCGCATGCGTGTTGCCAAAATGTCCTTTTCGTAACAAAAGAAAAAGGTCGACCCGTATTGACTTTACACACCGGACTTTTGCTGAAAAGGGGGGGGGGTGCTGCTGAAAAAGGCTCGTATACAAAAGAAAACGGTCGAGCCGTATTGACTTTACACACCGGACTTTTGCTGAAAGGGGAGGGGGGGGGGGTCGGTTGGAACACGCATATGCGTACCCTAAATAACACTGAGTGGGGGGGGGGGCCGGGGTGCCAGTATAGTAGAATGGCAAATTGGCCATTACAGATCAGATACAATAAAGCTGTCAAGAAATTTCTCTCTATACTAGAATACATTATTTTACTACACTATGTCGAGTTGAAAAGAGGAAAAAGCACATTAGTAAGGGCACAAGAATATCTAGTTAGTGTGAACGTTTAAAGGGACTGCCCCCCCCCCCTCCCCCCGCCACCACAACCACCATCTCAGGCTCTCAGTCTTTCTACGACCATACTGGGAGTTGCAGGAGAATGTAGAGGGCGCTTGTCTTACCTGGAGGTGAACACGCCACACCAGCATCCTCAAAGTGAGTGCAATCATGGACACCTATCCCAGAATGTGAACAGTTCAGTATGGTAGGCTCGGTTCCTTTACATTCCAAGTTATCCAGCAGGATAGGACCAGGTCCTGATCCAAAGTGGGCCGTGCTAGCGATCTGAAGAGGACTACCGAAACCCAACTCTTTACAGATCACCCAGGCATCTCGTCTAGAAGGAATAGGCAATGAGAAAGAGTGACATAGACAGAGAAGGATACATCACTCTTGTCACTCGTCGACAGAGTATCAGAGAGAACAAAAGATAAAACGACTAACAAACAGAGAACTTCTCTCTTAATAATAATATACAGGAGTGGAAATCTACTCTAAAAACAAGTCAAATTAGAAAAATTCCACCCTCAGAAGTGAATTTAACCATAATTTGGAGTGGATTTAACTCCAAAAGAATCCAAAAGAAGTGACTCCTAATAATTATGACTCCTAAGAATAGGATTTCCGCTAGACTGTAAAACCACAACACCTCCAGAATTATTGCATTCATACGGAATTACTGTCACCATAGTTATGTTTATGATCGAATTCAATAGGATTTTCTTGTTGAAAACAAAACAGTAATTACATTCGTTAGCAGATGATCACAAGTCATGATGATAATTTAAAAGACTACCTATAGAGTTGCTCACTTTTCCAACATTCTAAAAGCAGTTTGCGATTTATAAAATTCAAATGTCGTTATGTCTAGATCTTAACTTAGAAGGAAACCCCTAGGACATTTCTTTTGGTAATGACTGTGTTGAGTATAGTGGCCTGATCACAACCCAGAGTTGTTCTAAACAAACTGCAGTGTATACGAACGCTCATGAACTATGATGCTTGATGATCAATAACTAATGTTGCTTGATAACGGATGTTTTCCAGGAAAACTATTAAAAATTGATTTTTTTTTTATTTTTATAAAAAGTTCCATTAAACAGTCATGACATACAATTATTATGACGTAGACATGAGTGATGCACGTAATAGATTTCCATGGAAACTGAACATGCTCTTTATCATAGATTCCCACACATCATTAGTATGAAGGCCTATTGCGGTCATCGTTATTAGTCATAATTATGAGAAAGAACCGATGTATTCTATTCGCCTCATGAATGAATGAATAGATAACTGAATATAAATACATGGATAGGTTATAATTAATCAATTACAAAAAAGTGACAAAAAAGTACATAAATGAATAAAAGAAGCACGAACTTGAGGAAAGAATAAGGAATGAGAGAAAATCTTGGGGTGATTACAAGGGAGAATGATAATGCGAGAGGGGGTGTGCACAGTTGAAAGAGGTTCTCACCTGTCCCACTGATCATCGCATATCGTACCCCATGTGTCGTTCCAGAAGACTTCCACCCTCCCTTCGTACTTGTTGAATCCTCCGACGAGTCGGACATTTTTATGTGGTTCTGTTAAAATTTGAAGAATGTTATTATTCACATATAAAGAAACAGTTAGATATTTCAAGTGCCTCATTTCATTGTTTACAATAAGTTGACCTGATGATATAATTAAAATGAAGACATGCTAATAATCACTGCATTATATAGGCTATGTTGCTTTGGTTTGATAGCTTATGTTCAAAATTATTTTTAGACAATGCCATCAAGCAAAATTATATCAGATTCGAAATAATGAATGTAAATGGTACCATTTGTAAAAATGATTTTGTTTTAATGTTGATAATAGCGTATTAGGACTTGTGCAGTTTGTCCAATCATAAGGAGGGGGGAGGGGGGGGGGGGGCACTTGCCTGTTTTTAATGCGGTCGGAAGCAAGCGCGTAGCCAGGATTTCATTTTAGGGGGGCGGTAGTGAGCACGCGAAGCATGCGAATCACTTAAAGAGCATGCGAAGCGCGCTCCCTAGGGGGGTGGGTGCAGAGAGGGGGGAGCTTTGAAAGAAGACGATTCGTTGTACCTTTCTCGACTCATAATCCTTGTCTGAATTCAGTCCCTCCCCTCTCTCGCGCGAAGCTTTGACGTTTCATTAAATTATTAGAGAAAGAAGACGATTCGTTGTACCTCTCTCGACTCTTAATCCTTATCTGTATTCAGTCCCTCCCCTCTCTCACGCGAAGCTTTGACGTTTCATTAAATTATTAGAGAAAGAAGACGATTCGTTGTACCTTTCTCGACTCTTAATCCTTGTCTGAATTCTGTTTCCCCCCCCCCCCCCCTCTCGCGCGAAGCTTTGACGTTTCATTAAATTATTAGAGAAAGAAGACGATTCGTTGTACCTTTCTCGACTCTTAACCCTTGTCTGAATTCTGTTCCCCCCCCCCCCCTCTCGCGCGAAGCTTTGACGTTTCATTAAATTATTAGAGAAAGAAGACGATTCGTTGTACCTTTCCCGACTCATATTTCTTAATTTGAACTCAGTTTCCCCCTTCCCGCGCGAAGCGCGGAAGCTTTGACGATTCATTGTACCGTTCTCGACTCCTTTTCCCTTTTTCTTCCTACGTCCTCTTTCTTTTTTTTCTTCTCTTTCTCTCTCTTTTTTTTTTTGGCCGGCGTTTTGGGGGGGGGGCGACCGCCCCCACCGCCCCCCCCCCCCTGGCTACGCGCCTGGTCGGAAGATTCGGAAGATTCGGGAGGGGGTCGTGTCATCTTTCCCCATCGCTCATTATCTCTCGTTATCTCTTTTCCTTATTTATATTGTTTCTCTATATTCTTCTCTCTTCCTCCTCTCTCTCTCTCTCTCTCTCTCTCTCTCTCTCTCTCTCTCTCCCTTCTTAATCTGTCTTCCTCCCCCTCTCTCTTCCTCTCTCTCCCTATTTATCTTTCTACCATTCACCAGGGGTAATTCCCTTCCCTTCCCTGCCTTATTATATAACTACGCCATTGTGTATATTTTGTCAATATTATAAACTTTTATTCATCGAAATACGATCGCAAAGAGTTTTCAAGAGCTGAACTTATTATTATTATGTTGTCAATATAAATCATTTTGATATTACATAATATAATTTGCATATGCACATTCGACGCACACGGCTTCTGAAATTGCCTAGGCTGATATCTTGGAAGTCAATTTTCGATCGTTTTCATTTACATATAATGTAAAAGTAATACGTTTAGAATAATTTTTACGTGCAATTTGTATTTTAACTGTTATAACTTTCACATACTCTGAAATGGATTAAGTGAAACGGGTCAACGGTCATACTCATGCTGGTTTCACTTCCAACCCAAAATATTTTGGTGGCTGTTAAATCTTAGTGGTGAGTCATCGCTTAGTTTAGATTTCCGGTAACCAGATTGTCAAAGGTTGTTTAGATGTCTAACCATGTCATGATCATTGTTTTTGACGATAGCATGACAGATAATAGTAAGTGTATATACATGTATTGCAATAACATGGATGTAATTCAAACTTCAATTTGAAAAGAATCATAAAGAATAATATATCATTTATCATTATTTATTCATTGCTTATAATCTAAGCCCGCGGGGAAAGAGAGAGAGAGAGAGAGAGAGAGAAAGAGAGAGAGAGAAAGGGGGGGGGGGGTCTGATAATTGATTAGTGTTATGATAATGCATAATACTCTAGGCTCACGTATATTTAACCGCATATTAAATTTCTAATACGATTCTTCTAACTATATACTACGGAACCATTATACTTGTTTTCTTTCTTCAAAAATTGACATAGATGCCTTTTATCATCGATCTAACGGTTGACGGGTCCACCTTTCTTTTTGAGAGAATACAATTAAATCGGAATAAAAATTACTTCTTACACAAAGAACAAAAACAAAAACAAAATGCGTAAGAAATGGACACATACCTGAACCAGAAATAAGTTGCATGTATGCGATCAGTAAACACACTTCTAATATCCATGGCTTCATGGTCGATTGAGATGTATTTCTGTAAATAAAAGTTAAGTTTATTTTAGAGTCTTTATCATATCTATAAACCGTTCGCTGATATGCCATTCGGTCATTTGTGAGCTGAGCTGCAGTCAACGTGCTCAATATCTTTTCGATAAAACCTCAAACATATATAATAATACCAAGGTAAAACCACACAGATACTTGTTGTACTTTTATTCTTGTTTTTCGATGACTAATTAGGAAGTCTGTCTGTAATTTTAGGACTCATCGGAATAAAACTCAGGACCCCGGTTGAAAAGTGCTAATAATTATCAGCTTTTCTGTCTTGTTTCCTTTCACAATCTTTACTGTTACCCTTTTTTTATGTGTGGGGGGGGGGGGGGGAAAGTAGTTTAACATTTCTCGTGCTTCAAAATTAAACAAATGCCGTATAAGCGTCCAGTATTACCTAAGGTTCTTTCGCAAAATGCTAGAGGGACCTGATGAATAGATAGCACTCTTTCGTTCAAGAGCCTACCGTAAGTTTCATTTGATCTATTAACGCGCAGGCATGCCGCCTTTTTGCAGTGACGAGGGCTTTCAGCTCATCATGACGTGTATGGGGTATACAGAGACATGGTTTGTCACTGTGCCATCACCCCTTCCCCTCCCCCTCCCCCACCCTCACACACATATAAAATTGTCTGTGTGTCTCTGTCGACTCAGCTGCCCTTCTTGCATCTAAAAGCTTGGTCCCGCCATTGATAATTGCCGATGAAGTAATGTTTCGTTTACTCGAAATATCACAAAATGAACTTAAATATGCAGAATAGTATGATGAAAATAATACCGATTATAAATATAGATGTATATTAATATATCAACAGTCCTATGTGAATTATGGACGAGAACGTTAACCACGGTGTTCTTATTACTTTGTATATGCAACAAAATAAAGCAAGACGAGTTTACTTACCTATATAGTCATAAAGATAAACCTCCAAAGCTAATGCGATCAGTCAAACTTTCATTAAATAAGAAATAGCTTATCGATAAAGTTATCCGCTAGGTACCCTAATATACGTCCCATGTTCCATGCAAAACACATATAACACCAGTACGTCTACACGTTAACGAAAGAGTATTATGACTTGACGACTGCAGTCTGTTCTCTGAATTGTCTCTGTGCGCAACTACGACTTTTTTGTTTAAACGGAAGATGGGCTAACGGTTGACACAGCAAGCGCAAAATACGGATAGCAAATGTTTTGATGGGAAACATTGAAATAACTATGTAATAACTTACCACTGGAAGTCAGGAAATCTCCATCTGTAAATATCTTTAAATAGAAACTGAGAGCCTATCTTTTCAACTAACTGTAAATCTAAGCATATCAGGAGCTCTTGTAGCGCAGTAGAATATATACTTAATGTTGGATATATAGTTTCTGCGCTCTATAAATGTATCATTATCATTATTATTATTATAAGGGTCGTATATAGGCCTACGCCTATATCCCAGTATTCATGTTATAAATAATCATAGCTAGTAAAGAATTGAATCGTTAGAAAGATCAAGATCATCAAAATTTGTTTAAAAAAATATCTAATGTACACAAAATGTAGGGGGCGGGGGGGGGGGGGTGATCCTATTTTCAGATACGTTTCTATTGTAATTCTTTATACAAAACTCTTTCAAGAATTACCTCGTTTAAATTATGCGGGGAGTCAAACATGTATATCATAATCAAAACAAATGAAGTAAAGAATTAATAAATTGTTTTCTCTATTTGCTCTTGAGCTTATACTGTCGGAGTCCTCATTATTTGCAATTTGCACAATATGTATAGTCCGTTTAGTTTGCCATCGCTTACTACCCACTTATAATGCATTTCTACTGCTGATATTCATCATTTTACAGTAATTTTCCACATCGAATTCAGTCTCAACACATTGTAAAAACATAAAAATTCATTTCTTCGAGGGGGATTAGGCTAGGTGTTTTGAAATGACCGTAATCTCCTCTCCAAGGTTAGTATTTCCGTCTAGAGTTCCGTATAAAGTTGAGGACAATGACGAAATGTTTACAAGGATATCTTTTTATTATGGATCGTGTTTATGTCTTAAATATTGTACATGCAATCATTGGTGGATTTACATGGGATTCGCCCGACGCGAGCCCCCCTTTTAACTCGATTGGCATACCATTAAGTTTTTCTTTTTCTTTTTCGGAAATGTGTCCTCCCCTTTCTAGGAAATCCTGGATCCGCCCCTGCAGGTTACAGCCTATAATGGAGGAATAAGTCATATTTTGATACCTGGGCCCGTCTTATAAATAGTTAGTAATCGCAACTTATTTGCGATTGATATAAACAGTAATATGTACATAAGAAATAAGAGGCAACAAACTCTCTCTCCCACTTCTTTTCTATTCCACTCACTCTCTCTCTCTCTCCCCCTTATTATAACTAATTTTCCATCTCTTTCTCTCCCTTCCCCTTTCCCTTATTTTCTCGCACCCCTCCTCTCATTTGCCTCTCCTTTTTTCTTCTAGTGCCCCTCCTCCCCCGGAGACATCTCCCGCGCCATAAAATGTTTCTCTCTCGTCTTTAAATTCTAATCTAGCACTTTCGTTTGATGCCATGAATTTACATAAAGAGGCTTTCCTGGACATACTGAGTACCTTATTATTGTGCGAAATACGAGAAAAAATGAACGAGTGGTGTCAAAAACAGTCGGTAATAAAGGAAAGGAGGAAAATCGAGATGTGCTTCGGAATCGTTGACCCGGAACTTTATAATTGAAAAACTACTTTTCATTTGAATCAGATGTCAATTTTAGTCGTGTTTATCCTCCGTACTTTGATCCTTTCCCAGATCACGGTTTTAAAGTGGAAATGAGTAAGATAACAAATAAACCTGGAAGGAAACCCGGGATACATGAAGCTTATTCGGGTTTACAATGATACCCTGGTCATCTAATATTTCATGACAGTTAATTGTCTAGCCAAGCTTCGAGAACTGACTAACTTCGTGCGCGAATAAAAAAAGATTTCGTTATAAATGTATTCTTTTTAATTTGACATTATCATTTTTTAATGCCAAATGCCAAGAGGGCTTGATTCATTTTTACGAGGAAATTGCTTTAAAGGTAAAGACCAGTATTGGAAATGCCCCAATTTCAAAAAATGAAATGGAAGCTCTCATTACCAATCATGTGAAAGAATATGTTTTGACTAATACATGATGATAAAAAATTTGCTGGGAAACCGCTTACTAATTCATATATTTGGTAAATTTGTTTCTCTCATGGTCTGTGAGAGATAAAGGGTAGTTCCATATACATCTTTCTGTGTATAGTGCTTGTAACTTTACGAAGAATGGGCCAAATTTCTTATCATTTTGATGATTCCAGAACCTTGCAGATGCTAGATGCTAGATGATCAACCTTTTCTGATCGATTCCACAACGTTTCTTTCACAATGCAATCGCATGACCATAACTGGTCTTTACCTTTAAGACTTTAAGAGGTGATTCAGTGGTTCATGTAATGTGCATGTAGTAAGAAAAAATGGGAGGAAAATGCCAAAACTCTTCTTAAAATTATGTTCCTAGTCACCCCCTCTCTTTTTAAACAGTACTATGGATACCACATCATGCCATGCCATTAAAACATGTGTGTATGGAAATATATGTACTGTCTTTACAATTAGAGATTGAGATTCAAGAATGAAACTTTCCTAATCATTTGTCCACATTCTCACTCGTCCATCCCTCTGATATTGTCTTTCACTCAAAAACAGTAAATAGTAGAGGAAGGATCTCCTTTATCTCAGGACATCAGACAGGCTAAATTGAGTTTGTGTATGTGCATTTTTATGGTTACTCAGCTCATTATAATTATGATTAAAACACATGAAATAACAATTATTAAACTTGAGAGTTAGATGTAAAAACTGTTCCTTAACAGTTTACTTTAATAAGAAATACATGTACATAGTTAAAATGCATCTTTGATTCCAAGTGAAATGGAATGGATGGTTGCTGAATTTCATAATAGGTCGATTACATACAGGATTTGACCTCTGATATTATAGCAGCCACTAACTAAAAGGAGAGTGTGGATTTCAAAACTGGGTTCCCTTTCCTACCAATTCCTTTCGATACATTTGAGAAATCTTGTTACTGTTACGCCAGAAACTATCATGACCTTTTCAAGTGGTCCAAATTCATGAACGTTTTATGCCTCTAAATTTCAACATTGTATTTTAGCAAGTCTAAGAAAATATCTTGCCTAAAAAAACATGAACTATGGACAATCCGATAAATTCCAGGTCAATTAATTTTCTGGTTTTACAGCAGATCATGGCTAAAAATAGGGAGAAACTAGATGGAATTCGACTGCGCGCAGTCGAAAATGATGCCTCCGTCATAGAGTAATTTTACAAACCGAAACGGAAGAAATTTTTCAAATTCAAGTTCAATTGTAATCCATTAACATGTTCTCAGAATATCGTGATTACAAGCAATTTCTCATAAACATATATGACCCTTTGATCTTTGACCTCATGACCCTAAAATCTACTCAGTTCATTGGCTCTGCAAGATTTCCTGAGTTAAATAGTAATCCATCTGTCAGTTCTAATGAGAATGCGTCCACAAGCTATTTTTGCATACATAATGAGCCCATGACCTTTGATCTTATGAACCATTCATTGGCTCTGCAAGATACATAAATGATCTAAGTTTGGCAGGAATCCATCAATCTGTTCTAATGATAATACGATCACAAGCTATTTTTGCATACATAATGAGCCGCATGACCTTGACCTTTACCTCATGACCCCAAAATCTAATCAGTTCATCAGCTCTGCAAGTAACATACATGACCAAAGTTTGGCAGGAATCCATCAATCGGTTGTTCAGATAACGCGATCACGAGCTGTTTTTGCATACATAATGTGCGCTGTGACCTTTGACCTCGTGACCCCAAAATCTAATCAGTTCATTGGCTTTGCAAGATACATACATGACCAAAGTTTGGCAGGAATCCATCAATCGGTTCTTCAGATAACGCGATCACAAGCTGTTTTTGCATACATAATAAGCCCTGTGACCTTTGACCTTTGACCTCGTGACCCCAAAATCTAATCAGTTCATCAGCTCTGCAAGATACATACATGACCAAAGTTTGGCAGGAATCCATCAATCGGTTGTTCAGATAACGCGATCACAAGCTGTTTTTGCATACATAATGAGCCCTGTGACCTTTGACCTTTGACCTACGTGCTCCAAAATGTAATCAGATTGTTTTCCTATAGTGATACACACTATCACTAAGTTTGAAGTTTAAATCTCCAGTGGTTCTTGAGATATCATGATAACAATCTCAATGTATGGAATTTCATAAGTTGACCTCTGTGACCCTTGACCTTTGACATACGTGCTCCAAAATCTAATCAGATCGTCTTCCTATGGTGATACATACTATCCTTTATTTTTAAGTTTAAATCTCAAATGGTTCTTGAGATATCGCGCTAACAAACTCAATACAAGGAATTTCATAAGTTGACCTCTGTGACCTGTGACCTTTGACCTACGTACTCCAAAATCTAATCAGATCGTCTTCCTATGGTGATAAATACTATTCCCGAGTCTTAAGTTTAAATCTTAAATGGTTCTTGAGATATTGTGATAACGGTCAAACGGGACGGACGGACGGACGTACGGACGGACGTACGGACGGACGTACGGACGGACAACCCGAAAACATGATGCCTCCGGCACCACCTTCGGTGGCGGAGGCATAAAAAGTATTTGGACCAGCAAAACTGTGTTTTGAGAACATTATTAAAACAAGGTTCTAATGTTTTATCCATAATTGATTCAAGATATGAAATAATCAAATATACTGCATAACATGATTTATAATTCATTCAATTTCCAGTGAAAGTACTTTGTTTTCATTGATAAGGGGGTGATGTACCTACGTATCTCACTGAATTCAAGTCAAAATTATTAGATAATGTCAAACAAATAGGGCTATTAAACAGCGTAGATCTGTAGGGATGGAATACTATAAGTAACACATTTGATAGTTTAGAACTTATGTATCCTCATGCTTCCACGTCTTTCATAAGCACAATAAATATGATTTTACAACAGTACTAAAATCTGAAATTTGTGAATATTCATAATCAATGTGCTAATCTTGTCTCTTCTCTACCCTGCACAGAAAGATTTTTCTTTTTCTTTCAGGGAATACATAACTCATAATTCTCATTACCATTTGTTATTTAAATATTGCATTCATCACACGTTTAGCTGTGAAGCAAACAGATAACCATTATATAAACTTATTTGTTAATGGCGGTTTGTAATCTCAAGATTGCCAGTTATTTCTGATTTAAAAAAAAAGAAGCAATTCTTTTGTAAATTGATGATGCAAATACAATGAACATAATAAATTGAGGTTATCAGAGGTCAAGAGACTGGTATTATTATGATTACCACATTGTACCCTGCGGAACAAAAAGGGCGTTAGGCAATAGACCACAAAAATAAATAGCATTAACACCCTTCTGGCTCTCAGCATACTGTATATTATTAATAAGAAGCACATATGGAACTATCGTTTATTGGGGTCCAAAGTTTATCATGAATTCTTCTATTGTCCACTATATTATATTATATTTTGGCACTCTTGAGGTATTTGACAAGGCACAGGCTCTGGTCGAAATGTCTCTGGATGCGTAACCATGACGACTCCTGTATCTGTGCTAGCGAGGAGAGCTCTTCTGCTAAGTCTGATTCTCTTGCAATCATAGCACCATGAAGCTGAGAGGGATAAAATAAATTTGGAATACAGAGTGAGAGAGGGGATGTAAGGAGGTTGCAATCTAAGACTGAACGATATATGAGGTTCAAATTATTTGTGTATATTGGTAAATTTCCTCACATTTTATAAACAAACTATCATTCATAAAGCAAAGGCCCCAAAAACCTAAAACATAATGTATAAAAACATGGTAGTCAGGTGCATGCTCTGAAAAGAAAAAAAAGAGTTCACAAACTATGACTTGTAAGTGAAATTTCTTGCAGCCAATTGTAATATTTTGTACCGGATGAAAGTAACTTTGATCACAGCCAAATATCTGCAAATGACAGAATCAACATGGAGTATCCCTAAATGACCTCATACAAGATCTCACAATAATATTGGTAGACTGGTTTGGATGTTGACACAATAACAATGTGAGAGCGCGAGAAATGTGGTTGCACCACAGGAAATGTGTTGCAATGCCATGCAGATCATTGATGGTATCTGTCATTTCATATTATTAAAGAAAAAATGGTCCACAAATATGTATATTATTCCATGCAATCAACATTTGATGACTTCCAATACATGCCAAATCTTCAGAAACAGAGCAAGATTAGTGCATGCTTAAATACGTCCTAAGACTGCCAGAGATGAGGGTATCTATTAAAGCCCCACTGCACTACTTGTAGCTACTTGCACCCTCTATATAACAAACAATGCCTAATCAGTAACCTTTGGTCTCCCATGGTCCCCTTTTTTAAAATGTTAATTGAGAGCTTATTTGATGAGATAACCACCTGTCAGTGACCATACAAGGAGGTCCAATACCCCCTGGCTAAACTAGTGCAGACAGGCTTTAAGTATTACCTTGAGAAAGAGGGCTAGATATGCCTGTATGAGTTCATAGTCCCTGCCTGTAGTCAAGGAGTGGTGAAGGAATGAGATGAACTGCCTCATAGCCAGCACAGAACCACCTCCTACGGGATCCAATGATCTAAACTCCATGTCAATACGAGATGGAGACATGGTCTTCAGGAACTTCAGCACCGCATCATCTGAAAAATACCAACAAGGCAAATCCAACAATGAGAAATATATCATAACATTCGAGATTTATGTAGAGCTTAATGTATCCCTGATATCTCTAAGCGCTTTACAGACACACAATAACCTTGGTCATTGGATTCAGGCTTGCCTGCACAGTGCACACAATGTATGCACATTTTCCACTTCCTGAGGAGCATTCAAGAGAGGAGCATTTCTCAAAGTATGAATAAATAGTTATATGCGAAAAGAGAGGGGGAAAGCTGTATTAAGGAGTCATGACAACATTGTCTATTCCCTATGTTGCTCCACAAGAAACATATATAAAAGAACATACAACACCTACCATTCATACTTCTACATACCTTTTAAAATATACCCTTTAGATAATAGAGAGAATAGGAGTACAGTTACACAAAGAACGGTTTTCAATAAAAAGAAAACATTTCCCCATAATTGCTCTTAATCGATTAAGAGAGATATCTTAATTTCAATATGAAAGATTAACAACAATAATAATGATCACAGCTGTTTTATAAACAGCAACTTTCAAGTTAAGATTGATGATAAAAGAACTCCAGTGCATTCTTACTCCAATGTGATTCTGCATCTACATTACACTCTGAGGCGTGATAGCTCAGTCGGTAGAGCAGTGGTCTAGTAATCCGATGACCTGGGTTCGAAACCAAGGCGATGCGCTAGTGCCCTTTGGTAAGACATTAATCCTCATTACCAGGTCCCTCGGAGAGGACCTAAAGCTGTCGGCCTTCTGGTTGCTTACTTACAAGCATTTATGCTTTCTTAGCAGCCAGGTAAAATAACCACCACCATTCATATCTCTCTCTCCACTCATCTAAGTCACATGCTCCACTAAGCCTCATGAATGATGTACTCACAATGTTCAGGGGAAGCCCCTTTCTCAAGAAGGACACACAGGTCAGATTTCATCTCCATGTTGGACAGGTTCAGGACGTGAGATGATGGCTAAATGCAGAATGGAAAATAAAATAAAAACATTGAAAAATCAAGCAACATACACATCAGCTGCCAAATTTGAGTTACAGAGTCATGATAACCATATGTTATGAACATATGACAAAATACACATTTTATTTGACCAAAGGTGGAATGTTGAAGTACAATGTATATAGCTATCTATATTAGTGAATGTCTGATGCAGACAGCTTAAATTCATAGTTACTAACTAACTAAAAAGGATTGGACACACACACAAAAAAAAAAAAAATCAACATTATGCACAAGAGTAACACAATAATTTTTCATATACTAAAGGTATACTGTAATACACTTGTATTTCTTGTTTTTGGCAAATAACCCTAACATGTCAAATAAAAAAAAAAAAAAAAATAGTTCCTATGACATATCATATCATAGTCGCTGACAAACGCACCGTTACACACCGTTAATGAAATATTGGTATGCTAACAGAGACTAAACATGTTCCACCTTGTTATTAACATTGATTCTATTATCTTTACAACCATACATGTAGAAGCATGCACCCTCTCAGTCAAATTACACTTCCATTCATGAAGCTGTGACTCCGTAATTATAAGTCAAGAAGCACCTGTTCTTACCTTATCTGTCTGTTCATCAGAGCTGGCTATAAACTTGGGTGTAAGACCTGCTACTGTCGGTAGGAAGAATGGAGCTGCCTTGGGTGCCTTGGGTGGTTGTTTTGGCTTGTTCCTTTTCTGTTTACAAATAACAATTAAGAATAAAAAATAACAAGGACTGTGAAACATTTAGCCAAAGTTATCGTCAAGACAACTAGTATAAAGCTAGGACAACAGCATAAAAAAATACATGAATACATTACATTTGTAAGAAAACATCTCATAAAGATCACTTCAAAGAGGGCAATTAATGTTCACACTTTGGAGTCTATCTTGGTTTTAGCATACTTCTTTAGATTTAACTTTTGATGTTATTTGGGGTTTCGAATTATACGCCCTCCACGATCTCCATTTGAGAGTCTCAAGAAAAAATAAAAAATACTTTTGAGAAACATACATGTAGTAAAATATGAAAGAAGGGTTACATTACTTCCCTTCTCTCTACCCCATTCCACCCTCTAGCATTTGCTGTCGTAACTCTTTCCCCATACTGACCTTAATAAGATCTAAGTGAGTAAGACTCTGCCATCTTGAGTTAGGAAGCAATGAGAGGGTTATCAATTCTTCTCCTATCTGATCCGGTGATTTGAACTCCATCAACTCCTCCTCCTCCTTCTCTTCTTCCTCATCATCCTCCTCCATCTTCTCATCTCCGCCTTCAACATCCACTCCAGTAGCTTGACCTTTAGTGGGTTAGAATGAAAACAAATATGAACTGAACTAATGAATGTAGTTTAATATTGGTATAACCCGCTTTCCATAGACTTAGATTAAAGTTGATATTGGTCAAGGGTAAAAGGTGATTCTGAATACTAATCATGATGTCTAAAAGTTAATCTGAATTGTCTATTGTGATCTCAACAAGGATAATTGTGCATTCTGAAAATTTGGAGGAAGTAAATAAGTTGTGAAACAAAATCAAACAAAAATGATTCAGTGAGTAAAATTTATTTGAATGACTCTTTATGAGTAAGATTTGCTCTTGTCAAGCTATGACTCCTATTTATTCTTTAAAATCAGTCAATCTTAGGAAAAAATAAGTAATAAAGAAGGTGGTTTAACTAACCTTTCTCAGCACTCGTCCCAGGTAAGCTGATGAGAGTAGGCACATAGTCATCAGGTAGAGGTCTTATGCTCACATGGCTATACAGGGTCTTGTTGGACCTGACATTGAGGAAAATAAGAATTAAATCATCACTAAAACACCCCAATAATGATAATAGTTGCATTTGTCTAATGATCCATACAGATGTTTCTAACTGTTTGACATACGATTATTACCCATGTCCCCCCACACACCCTCCATCCCAGCATTCTAGCCAGTCACCTTGCACATGCTATTGAAATGGAAACATTAAAAATATTCAAATAACTTATGTACATCAACAATTCAGCATGGACTTACCATAGTCATCTGTAAACTTCTCTGAATATATATCATTTGTTTTTATCTAAATGGCTTCTATTGGAGTAAACTATACATATTATTGGAAAGCTAGAATCTCTAGGTTAAAAAAAAAGCGCAACAAAAAGAAAAGCATTACAATGACTTATTGGTGCTTTTGAGCTGAGATAGATATGGTTGTAATACAAGCATAGAATGCAAGGTTGTGATATTTCTTACCATAAATAGATGCCTAGATCGTCAACATGTGAGGTAGCTAGAAAGTCATTGGTTGGTGAGAGTGTGACGCTCGTAACAGCTTCATCCACAAGGAAACAGTCTATTAACCTAAAAAATGAAAATAAACAGAAAATGAGGGCAAAAGAGAAGAATAAAGATAAATTTCATCATTTGAAGATTTTTACATACATGTACATCAGCGCAGTGAAGTATATTTATATATAAGCTGGACTATGTAAATCGATCTAATTTTATTATTATTATCATAATGCTCACTATGAATATTCTGAAAACCTAAGATAAAAGAATATTATTAAATTTATTCATAAAATACCTAATTCTTTACATCTATAGGCTATCATATACTTCCAATCAATTGTAATGTTGCTAATCAATGAACTACTTCAAGACAATTATATTTTATAGCATTCTTAATCTAAATGACTGCCTTCTGCTCAAAAAAAAAATCTTCAAATAGATATCAGGACTGGTTGATTAATGTAATAATCAAATGATAATCATCAGTGCAAAACTAACAAGGTTACTTGAGTGGTACCTTTGCTTTTTATTGGATATCAGTATAGTGTATTGAATGTGTAGCACTGCTTTGGATGACTTACTTTGCAGTAGGAAGATCCCATGTCCTTACTGTACAGTCCATGGATGATGTGATGAGCCATCGTGCATCTTGACTAAATGCCTGATGATAGAAAGAAAGAAAACAAAATGTATTATTTCATCAATCCAGATCCACAGGTATTAAAGCTCATCTCAACTATCAAAGATTTGTGGGTGTCCAGTTAATCATGAGTCTGTCCATATGGTAGATTTTGACAAATAATAATAATAATATTGGATATTTTTATAGCACACATATTCAACATGCATGGTGCTCAAGGCTCGCCAATATTATCCTGGCCCTGCTATGCTACCAACTCAGGCGCTCACAGCATTCAAGGAATTCCTTTCTATCAGTACCTATCTAATACCACATTAAATTTGTATTGTACATTCCTATTTCTATTTCGAACTGATGAGAGACGAAGCAAAAAGGGGCAGCTTAACCTTCAGATACCAAATGTCCTATGAGTGGTACTTAGAGAAATGACACTTACATACATCATTACTCACACAAGATTGTTCAAGGGTATCTATTGAGCTTTACTTACCAGGTCTGTGACTCTGTTATGATGTCCAGAGAACCTTCTCACAACCCTCTTGAGATCTGCATCAACTACATGGATGGTGAAGTCGTCTGTCACAACAGCTAACATGGAACTATGGAGGAAGTCAAGAATGGAATATGTAAAAGGTCAATACTACGTTCACAGGCCATACTTCGCTTTCAAGAAACATCAAAACATTACTTATAGAAAATAAATCTAAGGGTATATTTTGGCACCCCCCCTCCTTTACAGTGATGAATAAACCACATCCAATATAGTTTTAAAGTGAAACCCCAATGGGCTAGTCTACTTTGAAATCTCATGGCCCCAAAAGGACAATGGTGGATGACCCCATCTGTGCTATTGGTTCTCAGCTGAAGCTCTCAAGAGTGTCACAATCATTTCTCATTAGCTGCTTGAAAATTTGTGTACAATGCATGTTGGGTAAATAAGCTTTCAAATCATTGTCAGGTTCAATTTTTGCATCCATAAAGATAGGTTGAAAAAGAAAAGTTTAAAGTTACTTAGTTTGTTAATTTACTATACTAAAGTTGTTTTTTAATATTGCCATACAAAAGCAATAACTTGATAACAAAGGTCAGTGATAGACTGTAAAAACAGAGACAGTTGTCCGTAGTATTCTTCTTTATTCTGCACACTAATTTGATAAAAGATTAGATCCAAACAGATTTGATGGCGTACCTTTCTCTATGCAGGAGGAGCTGACTGATGGGAAGACTGAACTCTAAACTTTGAAGGAGATTCTTCTTCTTGAAATGCCAGAACTTCAGCTGACAATCTGCTGACCCGGTGATAACAACCTGGTTGAGACCGTTGATGGCTAGACCACGGATCGCACCATTATGGGCTGCATTTAGAAGAAGATGCAAGAAGAAAAGAAAAGAGATATAAATTGTCTTAACTTCCGTGCAAGAGGTACGATACTGTTGCGATCAGAAAAAAAGTTGATACAGCTTGTTAGTGTAGTGATTTTGGTGACTAAGCTATGATGACACCCAAGAGGATGGAAAGGATCAACATTGTAAAGATAGTGGGGATGATGGTTAATGATGATGATGACGGTGATACTGATGACGAAGATGATATTGATTACAAAAAATGGTGATGATGTAGATTGTAATGAAGGTGGTGGTGACGGTGGAAATGTGATGATGATGATACTACAACCTTGTGGAACCAAAAAAAAGGAACCATGATGGCAAAAAAAAGGAAGTCATTAAAACAAAACTTACAACCACGCGCTACACACTTCCAATGCAGAAATGTCAATTCCTCATGCTGCTATTTCCATAATAGGAACTAAAGTTTATTTACAAGTAGGTATTTTTGTTTGTTTGTTGGTATTATCAGCGTTTCATTCTTTTTGAGAATATTTATGCCTTTCAAAAAAACAAACAACAACAACAACAACAACGTACTACCATAATTTGGATAAAAAAACAGAACATTCCTGGGAAAAACGTAATGGTTGGCAGCTCTGATACTATAATAAATTAAATATTGACAAACTAGTGACAGAGATAAGATTACTAGAAGTCCCACCAGGGCTGAAACAAGGAGCAAGAGGGGGCATCCTTACCTTTGGGGTCACCATAGGTCCCTCTGTGAATCCCTGATTGAATGTTGTATTGGTCTGCATCTCCAGTACTCCAGCCTACCGCTAGAAAGTTACCACATGATGATATGTCCACAGCCTATACAACAAAGGAATAATGCAATTTTTTTACCTTACTCAAAAAAGACTATCAATCATTTGTATTTGCATCAAATATATTTAAGCATGACTATTGCAACTCATCTACATGATTCATATCATTAATACGCATTCAAAAGTTTAAACTCAAAATTGTTAAATGTTAGCTCCAAATAACTCTATTCTTATTCAACTGCTTTATTCCCCCACATCCAATTCCTCTGCAAGTTGAAATGTCATTTAGAAGAAAGCTTGACAATGTCTCCCTTATGACTGCTTATCCTTTGAATGAACTTCCATGAGTCTCAACCAATTTTCATTTCAACACCACAGTAAAAAGTAACATGTATATAAAAGCGAATGACAATTTGAGCTTTTCGTCAGCATGAGGCTGAACTCCTTGACTGCTTTGGTAAAATGGACTGCCACAGTCAAGTTTTGTCACAGGTAAGACATACCGGTACATATAATATATTCTCCAAAACAATACGACAGTCAAGGTACTGAATCTGTAGCCAATAAATTCTAGATCCTCTCTGTAAATGACCAAGAGCCCTTACCGTTGCCTGGACACCGGGTACTCCTTTGAAGCGATCATGTTTGATTTTATGTTTGCCCATGTTGCTCTTCTGGTAGTTCCATGTCGTCACCATGGATGTACCCTGATGGCAGGCTGCGATACCATCCCAGTCACTCTCACGACTTGTTTCTATAGAGGCAACAAAAGCAGTTTTCTTCAATTTTGATATACTTTTCACAAATAGTCCTCCAAAATAATCTTGCAGTTTAAAAAAACCTGTACAAGCGGTCATTTTTGCAAGGGTTTTTTATTTTTTCCAAATTCAAAGGTTTGTTGTGATATCTCAAATCTTGAAAGTCCTGAAGATGAGCTGGCAATGCACAGATGAACATCATTGTAAGTAGTTGGGGTAGATTACTGTGAAAACTACAACTCACAAACATTTTGTGTCACTGTCATACACAAAAATATTACATTAGCATATGCAGTAATGAAGAATATTCAGAATGACTATGATGAAAACAAGAAATCTCATGAAATCATATCATAATTACCGTGTACATATTCATAAAATGTAAAGCACCACTTGCAATACAAATGATGAAAAACTTTGCCAATATCTTATAAATAACCAACAAACTTGACTTCCTCGTGAAAAATTAGGAGTGCCCATCATATCATGGATTGACCTTTGACCTCACCTGCAGCAAAGCATGTGATAGGCCTCATGTGTTTCCATCCTTTCTTGCTGTCCTTCTTCTTCCCTGGTGCCTTGTCATAGGCTGCTACACCCAGATCTTTGTTGTGCTTGTCGTGGACCATGGAGAAAGACTTCAGAGTACCATCCTGACCTGATCAATCAACAAAATGCAAAATAATTAATTTCAATTCATTTTATCAGCATTTTTGTATTTCTCTTTCCTTAGTTGTATATCTTCCTTCTTCCCGAGAGCCTTGTCATAGGCTGCCACACCAAGGTCTTTGTTGTGCATGTAATGGACCGTGGAGAATGATTTTAGTGTGCCATTTTGACCTTATCAATGAATTCAAATTTCTTCATCATCATCAACTTTCTTCTTTTCCATCACTCTTCCCTCATGCTCCAGAAGAAGATTCTTTTTAAACAGCAACACATCAATGACCTTTTCATAAAGGATAGTGGAAGCTTTCAAAATTGGGAATTGAAAATCTTCAGTATCACTATGAATTTGTAAGGTAAAAAGAATATTACTGCATTTCTGTTGACTGTTACAAATATAGAATGGTATAATAATAATAATAATAATAATAATAATAGGTCAGTTCTTGTATAGCGCATAATACGTCATGAAATAACATCTCTATGCACCTCCAAAGTTACCCAAATCATCATCATCATCATCCTCACCATCAGCATAGCATTTTAGTGACAAAAACACATTCTGAACCAACCTGCACTTAGAATGTTTTTGCCCATCTTGCCATAATACTTGATGCTGGTTGGTGGAGCACTGTGGCCTTTCCTCAGTCTCAGGATTCGTCCACTTCCATCAGGTTGGTCAAATATCCATACCTTCATTATAGGGAGACAGAAAATAGGAACAAGTTGAATGTATGTACAATCCTAGTATCCTAAAAGAACACCATAAACTCTCATACTCTATAACTCTTATCAAATACATGTTGAATGTTCATCAAAATGCTTAATATTATTTCACCCTACACACTCGAAGATCATTATGTTCAATTCAATTCTATTCAACAAAAGCGATTCAAAAGTAACATACATACATAGAACCATACATCGTTATATAAAAAGAAAAGAAGAAATGTATAAACTTTGGTACAGCAAATAAATATAAAAGGTTGCTTGGTAGGTTGCAGCCAGAAAGGAAGTGACCCTTATTAGTGGTCTAGCTAAAGTTGATATTAGATGAAGAATAAGATAATAAGACAGTTCTTTCCAATATCACAGTTCGTCAGGAGCTTAAAGGGATCCGGTAACTTTGTCTCAGATTCTGAAATAAAAATTCTGGATTTAGCTCATGCTGCAATGATAATTACATACCTTTAGGTCAGTCAGGAACCCAATGAATTTTACAAGCGATGGCCTGTCTGATTTTCAAGATATTTATGATTGGAATTACAAATTTTGAAAACCGTTTGCCAAACGGTTTTCATAACATTACAGTCTATTGGGGAAAACGAGTATGGTAAAACGGGTCACTCATTTAAAAAAACTTTTTTGAGGCACCTCTTGATCATTTTGAAGCGCAATTTTTTTTAGGGCTTCAATATTAGGTCATATTACAGACACTGATAACACGTAGGGCCGTGTATCTCAGATTTAACATTATAGGACTATACTCACTTCCGAAAGATACTCTTCCTTCCAACCTCCACTTTCTCGCCTTTCTATTTCACTTCTATTTTCTATCCACTTTCCTTAGTCCTTCTAGGACTTTACACATGGTGTACCGTAAACCTCTACCGCGAGATTTAACATTGTTAAACGATCCCTTTAGAGACTTACCTTGAGAGTATTATCACCACCATTGGTCACAAGAATCGGCTCGGAGGTGAGGAACGACACAGCAGCAACGGCTCCGGCATGAACATCTCTCATCTGGGCCTGTAGGCGGCGCTCTTCAAGGTTCCAGATGGCAAGATGTCCTGCTGTGCTACCAGTCACCATGATAGGGTTACCATCTTGACAGAGAAAGGGAAGAAGAAGTTATCATTAATGTAAAAAAATGAGATATTGCTGCTCTTGGGTGAGCAGCACAAACATTGGACAAGTAAGAACTAAAAGAGACCTTTTTTTACATGAATGCTTGATGCTCAAAATAAATTTGGTTGCTCAAAAGGTGAATTTATAGTTTTATGATGAGTTATCTAAAAATGATGTAAATGTTTTAGAAGTGAACAGGCTTAGGTCAGTGGCACTTAATATGGGGGGGGGGGGAGTGCAAATCACTTGGACACAACTAAATAGTGTTTAGGAAGGTAATGAATTGGTAAATTCAATATTCCATGGCAGTTTGGAATTAACAGCACTGACAATGAAGGACAGATGGGGGAACTATGGCAAGGAAGTTACTGACCATAACCTTGAAATAATAGCATACATAATGAAATTCAATCGTCATACAATATTCAGAATAAGAATCTTCTCTCAGTCACAAGAGAAAAAAAGAATGAGAAAGAGAAGAGAAATGAGGAATAAACAAAAAAGGCAGAATATAATAAGGAACAATGCATGCCACAAAATTAGTGTCTATTGCCCACAGATGGAAACTATCTTAATACTGTATGTATGTATGTCAGGGTAAGGAGAGGGAAAGAAGAGAGAAAAAAAGTACCTGTGCGGAATGCGATATCTGTGACAGGTCCCCAGTCTTGGGTGAAAGTTACAATCGTCTCATCATACTTGATGTTGAGCAGAATGATCTTTCCATTGGCGAGACCTACAGCTACTACATCAACTGCTGGAGACTGAATGTATGAAAATGGAACAACCAAAAACAAATAAGTCATAAAAATGCTCAAGACTGTTCAAACTAAATATAGCCGAAATGCTTTGCCATTTATGATAAGGTATCAAATAATGATTTGAAGATTACGACGTTGACTTTCAACATGCCACCCCCTCCACCTATTCAAGTAAGAAGATAAAGATAAGGTGCAATAATAAAATGTACCTATTTGAATAGGTGATGCAATGGGTAATTTTTTTAACAGATAGGCATCTCTAAATTATTTCTGACAAGTCCCTGATAATATATAGTCATATAATGAGCAAAGTGTTATTTATCTAACAATTTTCGTACCAAAACATGTATTCTTCTCTGGTATACTTAACCTGGAATATGGAAAGGATTTTCTTTAAAAAAAGTGCCGCCACAAACTTGAAAACAAAACAGGAAATTGTCTTTTACTTCAAATAGAATTTTAGCATTTACCTGCTTGATGACTGTTATTGGAGAATCCAAGTTCTGGAAAGTATACAGCAACTTACTACAAAAGATGATATGCAAAATTGATGTCAATATATTTCAAAGGACTTTCATACAAACAAGTGATATTTAAGAGCATGAAAACACATCTAGAATATTTGCAGAGCCAGATTGCAGTTCGGACAAATAATCTTTGGTCAACGCTATATGTTAAGTGGATTTTTCATTTATATTTATGAATAGAAAATGCTGTACCCCTTATATAATTAATTTGTTTGTTCCGGATTGAGCTCACGAGGAAAAAGAAAAGAACAATGTCACAAGTAGGAAATGTGAATTTTCATACAACTTACAAGACATAATCAAGAAGGACCCAAATCATTTCTAATTTTATTTACTTCAACTTGGGATATTTAATTCTTCCTATTCCATGACCATGTACTACCTGAATCATTCCCTAAAAGTAAACTGAATTCAATTACACAAGAAACAACACTTACTTTGATTTGATATTCCATAGTTGCATGCCACCCTGATGACTTCCTAATAATATCTTATTGAGGTATGTAGCTGGGTGCATCAGAGCTGATATTCGGAATATGTTGTTGTCGAACGGTAGATCTAAATACAGCTCTAGGGGTAAGAAATGAAAGTTTTATATAGCAAGAGGTAATTTGATTTCCGATGTATATTGTAAACAAATTTATTTGACCCTCCACGTGTGTTCTAGCTATACAGGGTGTATCAACAGAAGCAGGGTATGAGCTCCTACCAGGCCAGTTTTAACAAAGATAAACAAAAACTATATTTTACTACATTCAAATAATGCACTCTGACTTTCCTTCACCCTTAATATGAAGAGCTACTCATGTCAATCCATATACAAAAATTGTTCAATTAAGTGTTCGTTTCTATTTTTAGTAACGACATACTAATTTTGGCATACACCTTAATATTAAGCGTAGACAAAGTTTCTTTGCAAGGATATACAAAGTAAACTGAATCAAAGTGAAGGATACTGTTTTTTCAATAATAAAATACTCTCTACGTCACTATTAAATGTAGATTTCTTGACAAAAAACTTGTACTTGTGATGGCATACCTTCTGACTGGATATCCCATATCTTGAGATTACTGTCTGCATCAATGCTAACGAGATGGTCACCAAACGGCAGCAAAAGATGGACATCAGAGGTGTGACCATTGTACGTATGAACAACCTAAATAAAAAATGGAAAGATACCATATGAAAATGGGACAGCATTCACACTAATGGTTTGACCCGGGTCAGTCTTGAAGCTGATGCGATGGACGGTTAAATTTCAATTCTATAGTATATGTCAGTCTTGTAGATACACTGGTTGGTTTTAAGTCTACATAAATTTTACACAAGTTATATATTTTAACAATACAAATCTCATTTGGCTTTACCAAGTCTTTAGGATTTTTCAAGAATTACAATCACACATTTGACTCCACAATCCTTCTCTACCTTTCTATCTGATACGACCACACATCTTAAGTCCTCAAATGCTACATTCTTTAGCTCTATGTGGACGAGTTGAGTATGCTTATTTTATTGCTACTTACACAATTTGCTTATACTAGTTTCAGAGGGACTAATCATTAGAAATTCAATAATTTCTTCACATTTGGCCAGGATACACAGTTGTCTGGAATAAAATACTAGCACACCTCCCCTGATAGAAGTACCCACCTTCTGTCCAAGTGTGAATGCTCGTACTACATTCTTGCAAGCAGTGTAAGCTAGGAAGGCATCAGCAACCAGACAGGTGATGTCTTCTGGATGGGTGTCACCTGACAAGTATTAGGCAAAACAAGATGAATGAGACTACCAGTCTTGAATATGCCTCCACAGGTATATGTACGTTCATTGCATAATGATCCTGTAACCTTAAGCATCCACCCCATGAATCCAAACTCTGAATTCAATCTGTTCCTGCTGATTCATAAATATACTTGAGCCCATATTTGTTAAGTTATTGCAGTGATAAAATATTGTCTGGTGTATTTAACTTTTAACACTTTCATGACCATGAGTTAGTAAAAAACCTCTTGAAAATAGATATGACAGTGAAGTGAAAAAGCAGTAGTCTTGTAACACAGAAGTAAATGCGTAATTAAAATGCCCATGGGTAAGGTTTTAATCCTCATTTCCCAAGTCCCTCAAATAAGGCTTCCAGTCATAAGTCCACTTGCTGCCTAACTTCAAGAACATACATGTACTTGCTTCCTTAGCAGTCAGGTAAAATGGAAACATCATCAACTGTAAGTGTTGTCTTGATTTAGGATGTGAAACAATCAACTATACACAATTCTGAGGAAGCGCAATCATGCAATGTCAATAACTAGAGACAGAAAGGCATTGTCATACATGTATGCTTTTTATTTCTAATAATACAGTGGCTAGATATAATTATAAAATGTGACTCACCTTCATACAAATTTATATTAAAAAGTGGTTGGGTCAGGCAAACAACTAATATTTTTTTGATAATCAAAGTTATTATCTTTGAAAAAGTACACATCAATAAGGCCACAAACAGATAATCAAATGATGTGATTCTTGTCAAGCTTTCTTTGTGAAAAATGAAACAGGTCTCTTACATATTTAAGATATTTCTGAAAAGCTAAAAGAAATAGGATGGTCTACAAAAAGAAGCTGGGCATTACTTTCTCTCTGCCTTCCAATTCCGAATTTTGTAATACTTACTCACTGCGACGATTGCCAACTTGGATACCTGAAGACAGAATATGAGATAAAGATCATTAGATCTTTAATTGCATTGTAAAAACAGAAAAAAAACACAGTCCTTACTTTTCCTGAAATTAAAACATTTCTTGACTTGTGGATTTACGATTTAATTATCGATGCCGATGGCACGTCACCATTTTCAAATTAGACTCTAGGCCTAGAGTCTACTCGCTTTTCATAATCTCAATGTTTTTGTAACATATTTCCCACTAAGACCTGATGATAATCAACAGTGTTCACCACAGACCAAAAAATAAAAAAACTTAAAAAGATCTTGATTCTTGGCTTGTGAAAAGCGAGGTCGTTTTTTTATTTGATTTGTTTTGCTTGCTTGCTTAGTTTAAATTAGATTTAGGCCTAGCTACAACTTTGTTGCTGAATTGACAGAAATTACGATACCATCCAAGGCGTTTCATAATATGATAAGCTTATGAGACTTGTCTATATGTCATTGTCAATGGTCCTCTTTCAAATTATATTGGCTCACGAAGGTCCACATACACATCTCAAAAATAAACACGTGGGACTACAGTAACAAAAAAAAATACTGACCCGGTATGTGTGGAAGGCTTTTCCGATGGCGGTGATCACATAATGGTCTTTTGATCTGGCATGGTAGCGCATTCCATGTGGCACATTGTTGCAGACAAATCCTAAGGATCTGAACCCAGCAAAAATGTTACTTCCTCGGTTGTATTTCGACATGACTCTGTCGCATTTATCGAAATACAGACACGTTCACGCACGTTGCAGGCATGAAACATAGCAGACAGCTAGCTATATTTATGATGTGTATAGTAAACGCACGTGTATGACGGGCGGATTGCGCCATAAAGATGACAACTATACAACTATACATCCATCGAATGGATGTAAGGTTTTAACCAATCAGAACGCAGGAAACTGTACAACTATACAACTATACAACTATACGACTATGCAACCATACAGCTATAGAACGTATGTAAGGTTGTTACGTTTGCGGGCCGAAATGCCATAATTGCAAACAACCATACATCCATTCAGCTTTATGGTTGTACGGTTTCAACCAATCACAATGCAGGAAACTATACAGCCATGGCGGCGAGAATGTCTGTAAAGTTTTATGCCTGTATGGTTTTAACCAATCATAATGCAGGAAACTATACAGCTATGGCGGCGAGAATGTCTGTATAGTTTTATGCCTGTACGGTTTTATCCAATCACAATGCAGGAAACTATACAGCCATGGCGGCGAGAATGTCTGTATAGTTTTATGCCTGTACGGTTTTATCCAATCACAATGCAGGAAACTATACAGCCATGGCGGCGAGAATGTCTGTATAGTTTTATGCCTGTACGGTTTTATCCAATCACAATGCAGGAAACTATACAGCCATGGCGGCGGAAATGTCTGTATAGTTTTATGGCTGTACGGTTTTAACCAATCATAATGCAGGAAACTATACAGCCATGGCGGTGAGAATGTCTGAATTTAGCCGACACTTATGCCTCTAAAGCCATTGAATGCTGAACATAGCAAAGCAATGATGGAATAAATAAAAATAAAAATTGATCTTATAGGCCTACTAGTACTAAATAATATTGGATCTAGTGGTAGATTTACTAGTAGTCGACCAGACCTAGATCTAGACTAGGTGATAGCTAGGTCTAGTACTAGTACTAGTACTAGGCCTAGATCTAGTGCTTAATTAGTACTGCTACTACTAGGTCTAGCCTAGTACTATTCTATTTAATTTAGTGGACTATTACTATACATAGACCTAGACCTACTAGTAAATAGTAGATCTAGACTATTATTAGACTAGACCTAGATCTACTCTAGTAGACTAGATCTAGGTCTATTATAGAAATATTAGTAGACTATAGGCCTATATTTACTCCTATTTAGATCTACTAATACTAGACTAGGTCTAGATCTAGATCTAATTTCCTAAATCGGCAACTGTAGATCTAGACCTAGGTCTATTTAGATCTAGTCTAGGGTATATAGGGTCTAGATCTCTCTCTAAGCAACAGACCAATCGGCAAATGTATATATAGACTACAACATGATTATTCCTAATGACGTGGAGGACCTACATTGTTATCAACTGCACGAATAAATTAAATTAATTAATTTGTACCTTTCCTAACCGAACATTAAACTTTGGTGGACATTTGCAGTTGGACCTGGATGAATTTATATGAATGGGACTGAAATGCATGAACTGGTGCAATTCGCCCATCTTTTTCCAAGTTGGGGAGTAATATTTGTATGTTTTTTTTAGAATATCGTTCGGTTAAACAACAAATTCTTTGCCTTAATTGCATAAGTTTAGCGATGCATGGCTAGTCTATATAATTTCCTGCATTGTGATCAAAACCGTATAGCCATAAAACTATACAGACATTCTCGCCGCCATGGCTGTATAGTTTCCTGCATTGTGATGGGATAAAACCGTACAGCCATAAAACTATACAGACATTCTCGCCGCCATGGCTGTATAGTTTCCTGCATTATGATTGGTTAAAACCGTACAGGCATAAAACTATACAGACATTCTTGCCGCCATGGCTGTATAGTTTCCTGCATTATGATTGGTTAAAACCGTACAGGCATAAAACTATACAGACATTCTCGCCGCCATGGCTGTATAGTTTCCTGCATTGTGATTGGTTGAAACCGTACAACCATAAAGCTGAATGGATGTATGGTTGTTTGCAATTATGGCATTTCGGCCCGCAAACGTAACAACCTTACATACGTTCTATAGCTGTATGGTTGCATAGTCGTATAGTTGTATAGTTGTATAGTTGTACAGTTTCCTGCGTTCTGATTGGTTAAAACCCTACATCCATTCGATGGATGTATAGTTGTATAGTTGTCATCTTTATGGCGCGATCCGCCCGTCATACACGTGTTGCTTGTTGAATGTATCTACTTACTTTCATAACCAAGATTGTATGGTGTCGTTTAGTACACAAATGTATTCATTACCTTCCTATTACATCCACCCACACCATCGTTTCCTTCTCACTTTTGACTTCTCTCAGGCGCGGATCCAGGATTCCTTAGGGGAGGGGGCCCAACTTTTTTTTTTTTTTGCTCCCGAAAATTTGAAAATCGCGCCGACCGAAAAGTCGCTCAGTGAGGGGGGGGGGGGGGGGGGGGGGGGGGGGGGGGGGGGGGGGGGGGGGGGGGGGGGTAGTGAGCACATTTTTTTTTTTTTTGATCCTCAAAAAAATTTCAATTTGCACCCCCCCCCCCCCCCCCCCTTGAGCGCCAGGGGGGGGGGGTCCAACCCCCCAAAAAGGTAAAAATCACGTGATTTTACATGATTTTTTTTCTCAAGGGGGGGGGGGGGGGGCCGGGCCCCCCCCCCCTGGATCCGCCACTGACTTCTCTTATGTTCCTACTCCCTTCTCCTCTTTCAAGTTCATCCCAACTATTATTATTGTAAGCTTTAATTTCTACAGGGGTCCTAAAACCATTCATTTAATGATGTAATCAAGTTAATATATGTTGATTAATGTACTATGTATTACCAGTCTCTTTTTTTAATGTAAAAGTTTATATCACGTTTTGTGTGGTTTTGAATAAATGAACTTACCCTTACCCTCTCATTCACCGCATTCTTTCTCCTATTCCAGATTACCTACAAATTTGCTTCCATCCCTCTCTGTGATTCACCCCCTTTCCCATCTCTTCTCCTTGTTCACTGTTCATTCTTTTTCTTTTTCAATACTCTCTTTTTCACAACTCCACTATTTACCCCCTCTCTCTCTTTCTTTCTCTGTTTGTATGTCTCTCTCCTCTTAATGTTGATCTATTTGATCTATGATATAAGTGTACACAAATATCTCTTTTGATTTCTCTTTATCTCCCCTCCACCTTCTCTCCCTCTCTCTCTCTCTCTCTCTTTCAATATATTTGTCTTTCCCTCCCACCCTCTCTCTTTCTCTCTCTCCCTCCATCCTCCCTTCATCAAATACATCTTAGCACTTCCTCTCAACACTAATCTAAATAACAATACAAACATTAAACACAACAAGTCCTTTATCTCGGTAATAGCTCATAGACATGCTTTATTTATGTTTTCTGATATTTCTTTTCTCACATTTTTTTTCTCCCAATAGCAGCGTACATTCACAAAGTTTCTTTAATAAATTTTGTACATCGAGGTATAACTTCAAAAAATAAAAACACAGGCATCACAACGCGACAAATAGTACTTTTTTTATCTACACAGACAGGTAGCTCATAATAGATCTGTACAATTTTCTTTGCTCTTGTTTACATATATATACACACACTTAAGTTGATTCCATTTAGGCTATCTATCAAAGAACAAATTCATTCATATTTTTTCTCCACATTTAAAAGGCCTTTTTCGTTCATATCTGACACTGAACAGGTTCACACAATCATTATCCTTCCTTTATCTAATCTTAAGTTATTTTTCAGGAAATGAAGGTACATACATAATGGTATTAAACCATTATCCAAACAAACTTGATCAAAATATAATTTTCCTTCAATTCTACTGCTCTGCATTAGAATACAATACACGATGTACTGACCTGCACTCATAATAGCCCTCATCACAGAAAATATAGTAAATCCAGAATTGTCAAATTATATCATTATTATGAACCACAAGTCACTCTCATTATAAGCAACATAAAATAAACTTCTTTGTTGGATGACAAAGGAAAAAGGAAGAGTATGAGAGGAAGAAATGAATTAGGATGAGGGTATAAGATTAGACAAGTAACAAAGGGATGAGAAATATAAGATAAGTAAAACATTCATTAATTAAGTGAATAGTTCCTCATAAAATAACACCCATCAACAACATGGATAAGTGGAGATTCAAATAATGTTAACTTTAAAAAAAAAATCCAATGTAATTTGGGAATTTAGTAGGATATTGACAGGTTGTATGCATATTGTACAGTCAGAATGTCATTTGCTCTTCAATATACACAAACTAGGTTCAGCCTTTCATATCATAACATTACTTTAACACTAGTTATGCCTTACCTCACAGAAGATATCAAATTTGCATGAAATGTGCATTTTCTAATGATTTTGAGCCAGGCTTCGGTAAAATGAGAGTGCTGTTCACATATGCATCGTGTAGAGAAATAGACATGTCTTAATGTGACCGTTACCAATACACTATACATTAGAGCAAAAAGTTAGTATGTGCATCATATACACGGAAAATATATACAATACACATTAAACATTCCAGGTGCTATACATTGCAAATAAAAAGATTATCTTAAATTTTGATGCAAAAGGTCTTTTTTGAAGAAAAAAAAAAAGAAAGAAAAAAAAAAAGAGGAAAAAACGGGTGGAAAAAAATATATGGGAAACCCGATTTTAATCAGGAAATTATCAGGCCTGGTATGTGACTAATCTGACTGGAATCATAGCGTAATTCAATGCATTAAATGCCATCATTCGGCCATCGGCTTGTGGCACTTTCATTCTGTAAGATGCTCAAAGGAAAGGATTCAAAAGAAAAAAAAGCAACTAGATTTGCTTGAAGGAATCAAAAGTAAAATCAAATATTTCGAATGACAAGGATCATCCATCATTGTAGATTTGTAATTCATCCAGATCAATTGTAACTCTTAGAATACAGTGCAAAATTTACAAATTTGTGTTTCTTTCTGAACATTAAAGATCATTTACATCACAGGTTCAAGATACTGACATGATTCAATCAAGCCATGGTTTTTTAAATAATTACAGTAGCAGGTGGATAGAGGAAAGAATTAACTTCACTCTCAAATTCTCATCAAATATCTAGCAAGAGAATTTAAATCAGTATGACAAAATATATATATTTGTTTTTAACAGCAAGACCACACAGTATAGCAACATCAGCAGAGCATCAGCTACTCACACACCACTAAAAGCACACTATTTTATATTATCATCATTCTTGCGATCAATCATGTATTTACACAATGAATGTAGATGTATTCCTACAGATAGCCCATGAAGACGTCAAGTGGTAAAGAACCTTCTTTGTTTTCCCCCATCTTAGATTCATGATGGTGAAATGATACTAATGAAGTACATCTCACACCAGGTATTTAACAGAATAAAAAAAGGTGTAGAATAACTATAAATACTAATTATTGGATTATATGGCTCTTTTTTCCAGACAATACAAGAGTTGGAAGTTGTCCACTTTTATATGTCACAATGCTTTCGTTTTCATTTGAAGTCTATGATTGTGCCTTTAGGTGATGATACAAGTATTACAGAATTGTTGTTTAACCCAATAAACATTAACCTCACTGGGATAGAGACAACAGATAAACAGGGTAGGAGGAAAATCTTTTATGTGACCGAATCGTGTGATATCTTTGGTGAAAAATTAAATGTGCATTACTCAGATTTTGTTTTGTTTACAGGAATAAAGACCTGATACTTCAATACCACAAGGAATGAGCACTGTCCATGTTCTAAATTCTCTGTTGATATACATCGTAGACTTCAAACGAAAAGGAAAGAGCGGACCAGTGACTACATTGTGCAACTGATAATGATCACATCATTAAGTTACAGTGACATGGTTTGGGAAAATTAAAGAACTTTTAGTTTTGTTATTGAATCTCAAGGTTTTTTTAGCACCTCATCGTTCTGCCCCCTCCTGCCCCCTCCCACCCACTGTACCCCTCCCATTAACTCAAGTTCATATTTCACACAAACACTACTACAACTACCACAACAATGTAATATGCTGATATGAATAAACTCTGACACTGTTTCAAGACACTTTTATATAGGAATATATTTAGATTTTGATAGAAAAGCTTTGATAGAAGAAATAGTACAAATTTAAAAATCTATCTTTTCGAAGATAGAATAGAATCTGATAGAGATTGTACACGCAAGCAGGTGCACTCGCTCTTTCTCTCTCTCTTTCTCAAGCCAATTATTTACAGAGTGCACTTGGAGAAATAAACACAGACTGTGGCATGTTATACATGTGATATCAGCTGTACATTATGATATATTTGTTCTTAACATAAAATAAAGAGCGTCGTATTGAGTGCAGTGTTAGAAGGAGATAACGTCTGATGAATCTATTTTTGATGCAAGAAGTCTGAAATACACAGAAAACTTCATCTTTTTTTTAAAGTAGAAGATAGATACACAATGATGTGTAGTCTGAAAATATAATCTGCAAGAAATCATCCTACATGAAATACAATCTACACCAACAAAATGATGTGAAAATGTTCAAACACCTGGGCCCTTTTAGAAGACCTAAATGTTTCCCATATTCGGGTTTAAATCTTTACTCAGCGCAGCGATAGCTGTCCCTTACGCCTGCCTGGAGCTTCGGCTGGAGAGTTATTGAAATGTTTTTCTTTCACAACGTTGTGTACCAAATTGAAGGCTTACTTTGAAGTAACAAATTCAAGAAGTTATCTCCCTCTCACAAAATCAATCTGCTCTGTCTATATACCTCAGGAATGTATTTGTAGTTTTGTACAGAATTATTTCTACAGCAACAAAGCATGTCAAAATACTGTGCTAACATTGTCTGTATATTAAACACACTTTGAAAGACAAAACAGATGGCTTACAAAAAGGAAATTAATAGTGCGTGTTTACCCAAGTCAGTAAATTGGATTGACAATTAATTGGACACTAACAATATCAAGAGATTTATGTATAATGTATTTCATTTCAGTGAATGAATGCAAACTTATTCATATCTCAATAAATTTCTATATTTAAATTTCATTTTCAAATTAATGAAAAGCAACGAACCAATTTTTTTCTTTTCTTTTTACCAAATCAATTTCACTTCACAGTAGCTTTCCGTGCAACTTAAACCATTTGCGCTACAGAATTACGAAAAAACAAACAATTTGTTTCTTCACAAGGCAGTTTAGCATTTGAATGAAATTAGTTATTCCAGTCCTTAGTGGAAGGAAATTATGAGCATTGCAAAATCATTTCATTGGACATGAAATAAGATAAATTAACTCTCAAATTTATTCAACAAACTAGAAATCATAATACCTGCACACCTGCTTTGTCCGATAATTCCATTTACATGTACCTTGTTACTCATGATCATAAAATCATGTTACTAATATGCAACATCAAGGTATTTTTCTTGCAAATGACAGTATCGTCTTCACTTTACTACTTGTTAATTGTGCAAGATTGTGCAGGTATTAATAATTCTAATTGTAACTAATCAGGAAATGTTAGCTTTAAATGCACCACTCTGTTTTGATAATTCATCAACATGCAAGGCCAGACTTTTTCTTTGTATATCATTCAAATGAAAAATAAAATTTGTTAAATCAATAATACTGTCAATAGCACAAATGTTGTTTTAAACTTATTTTTTCTTCATCAAAGGCAATAGAGAACATTAATGAAAAAAAAAATTAAATGTTGAATTAGAATTAAATTAATGCTGACAAAAAGTGTAGTGCATTGCGGTTTGACATCTCACATTTTTCATCACAAGACTTCTAAAATCCTCACATCTTGCCAAAATGAAATCTAATGATGAAAATTGTTCAACTTACAACTTTTCACCCCAAAATTACACTCCAAGTATACTATAATGCTGTTACTTTAAAATTTAAAGTCCTTCATAAAGAAATAATACAGGTAGCAGGAATTTAAAATGCCAATGCTCCCTCCTTTGTGTGTCTTTTGTCTTTGATGCGTATGTGGCATTTGTTCTTATTGTAAATGATTCGTTCAAATTTCTATGTCAAAATCACTACTTCATTTTGCAACCATTTTATCCTCATATTATAATCCTAACATGTATGTATCCAACTTGTCTATGCATTCATGTACATGGTGCATCTTGTATCTCTATTTAGACCGACTATCTGTTTACTGTCATGTTAATTCCACAGACTGTAACCCTTCCTTGCTTTGGTCGACTATTCAAATTGCCACAGTCAACTTTTGACACACATACAGTGTGTGCGTACCATATGCTGAAATGGCAGTCTACAGTATGGACTAAAGTGGACCAAAAAAGAGCTAGTGAGGTTGTTGATGAATGCTATCACTCCAGCTATGTCAGCATCATTATCTATTTCTTATTTCAGCATCTTTGGCAAAACATACAGGCACAATAGCAAAGAATAAAGAATTAATGATGACTCAAAGTACTTTCTAATCAACTTTTGGTAAATTGCAATGCTCTTATGTTTATCAATTTGTTTCAGCAAAATAAATCTGGTCTTGATTACCAAGACGAAACCATCCATGGTTGTATCTTAAAGCTGTCTCACATAACACAGCATGGCATGTGCTTGAGAGTCTTCCGTTCAGACACTGTGAAACCAAAGACCATCATATCCAAAAACTGTCAAATATACATATATAGCAGACTGAATACTTTGCATTTCTACACACATGATCAAGATTGATCTCAAGTGGACCCTGTAGATTTTCTCTCAGCGACCCTCTCTTTGCCGAAGATGCCTAATCTCTTGAGACTTCTCTCTTCCCTTGAGAGAGCATCACAAGCTGAGTCCGCTCGAGGTCTGAGCTGAACATCAAACATGTCCATGGTCTTTTCATGGTCTGGTGAGAGAGCCCTTCTGAGGAGCGGTGACGGCGGAGTCTCAAGGTTCCTAGAGCGCATGTACTTCTTGGTCTTGACCTTCATAGGGGCAGCCAGGGTGGGGCTGCTCAGCATGTGGGCGGGGTAAGACTGGGTGGTGTTGGAGCTTCCAGGAGAATGCCCAAGACTGGTCACCACAGCCAGAGGGCTGGGGCTACGAACAGGGGATTTAGGGGCTGGTGACTGGTTGGGGGTCCTGGCTAGAGGGGACAGTGGGATGTGACCGACTGACTTCCTACGGTTCCCTCCAGGTCTGAATGAGAAGGGTAGTTTATGAGCCAGACCTTGCAGTGTGCTGGGTCTGGATGATGTGTAGTGTCCAGCGGGTGAGTTAGGGCAGCTCGATGATGGAGAACTGTTGGGTGACGATGTCAACGGTGTGCTGCTTGAATGTTCACTAGGTATGTGAAACATGGGAGGGGAACGTGGTGACCGCGATGTCGGCGACCGAGGAGATGTATCCGTCCCTCCCTGCCTGCCTAATGCTGCTAAGCTAGCCCTGCTTCCATCTGTCGATGCCCGTTTCAAACTCGACCTTCTGAATACTGCACTGCGCCGCCTTCGCTCTACGGAGTCCCTTTTACGCTTGGGCTTCTTTCTCCTGGCCATCTTACTGGACGTTGTATTCCTTCGTCCACATGTCTGAATGGTTGTCTTGACCATGGGTACGGCATGGATCACAACCTGTGTGTCACTCATGATAAGTTCTACTATCTCACGATGGATCAAGCCTTCTACTGGAGCGTTGTTGATGTGAGTGACGAGGTCCCCGGGTCGCAAGCCGGCTTCGTACGCGGGACTTCCTTCCTCAACATGCTATAGATATGATATAAGACAGAATTTATGTTAACTCGTTGCCTTCATGAACCAGATGGTCCCCGCGTTAAGCTTACAGGAATGAGAGAATTCAGTAGTCAACAGTTTAATACATCATTGTAAATCAGGTTGATGTCATCAGAGTTTATATACTGAAAACAAAAGATCTGCCTATATTTAGAAGAGAAAAGGGCCATAACCATGTTTATCAAAATATTAACAAAAGTCATCTCTCTGCATACAACAGAAAACTCCTGAGAACTTTAAGGGGACAATAATGTACTGATTACTGAAACTATGATTTTTCATGAATTTCTTTTTACTCTTGACCATTTCTATTAAAAGTAGGCAAGGACAATGGGATCATTTACCCTAACAAGATGATGAAGGGTGTATAGCATCTGTTTGGAGCCAGAAGGGCATTAAATAATATGTTCTAACACAATAAAGCCCTTTTGGCTCTGAGCATATGATATGCTAGATACTTACCCTAACTAGATGATGCAGTGTGTATATGTTGGACTCTCCTAGGTAGACCTTGATAGCCTGCATATGGAATCCCATGGTCTTCCTTCGCGGAGGCTTCTTGATGACGATGGGTGACTTCATGCTACTCATGGATGGATCCCTAGACGGAGAATCGTCTCTGGAGCTGCTTGATTCTCCTCCTGGGGAGTTGATGGGTGATGGCACATGAAGCTCATCTGAAACAAACAGGGGTAAAGGGTTACCGGTAAAGTATTTAGCTTGATTAATACACAGTGTCTCAATGGTTGCTGCTGAAAACGTCACAGGAAAATGACCCACAGGCCGTCCACCCGAAAGATGGCTTGACAGCATCTCAGAGGACTGCAAAGCAAGATCCATAACAAGGCTGACAGATGCATCAAGACTGGCTGCAGACAGAAATACCTGGCATACCATCACCATACAGAAGCCATCACAAGGCCCCTTGCCTGCGTGGAGGTCATGTGAGTTAAAGTCTCAATGGTTAGGGCAATCGTCTTGAAATCAGGAAGACTAGGTACACAGTTAAGTGATTGCAATCGTACCGTTTTGTAAGACAAGGCTTCATTCTAACCTGATCACACTAACAGGAATTAATCCCCAAATGACAGTGGTATTTATGTGGTCTTACAGGTGGAGAGGGGAGAATATATGTACCAGTTATTATCCCTAACATACTACATGTACATATATCTGTAATATACTGTAATCAAAGATCCAATTCAATTCAATTTCATTGGTCATGCACAAAAATAAAGATAATAATAATAATAATAATAATATTTAATTTTTATATAGCGCTTAATACAAATGTCTCTAAGCGCTTTACAAATATATACTATTACCCCGGTCATTGGATTCAATTGGAATAAAAATCATTCTCTGGCTGAGAAAGACAAGATGTAGCATTCATAGCATGGACTTAAACCCTACCGACGGACTGACAAATTGTGGGCAAGATCCCTCCTTCTTGAAGCTTTACTTATATGGGGGTATAAACAATATAGAATGAGTACTTACCTGATGGTATGATAAGAGACAGCATACTAGATGATGCCGACTTGACAACCGTTCTACTCTGTCTCTCAGAGGAGGAGCCTATGTGCTTCCCGTCTCCTGCACCTAGGAACCCTGACGACCCTAGAGAACCCTGAGACTCCAGTGACGATGCCAACGGGCTGTCCTCGTCAAACGAGATGGAGAAGCGAGGGAGGACCTCCCGGAGGGGCGGCTTGTGGGCGATGCCGGTCCGACGGCGGGACCGAGGGGAGGAGTCGTGGGGCGGGGTACAGGGGGAGGTGGAGGAGGCGTCAGAATGCTCAGCGGCCTTGGCATTGGCAGTCCTGAGCAAGAAGGCAAAGAGGGAAGATATTGATTTCATACTTCTAACTTTAAAGTATGACTTTCATCTATAGTCAAATAATGGTCATACAATAAATATACAGCATTTGATCAAATGTTAGAAATTTATGAATATATTTATATATATATAAAAAAAGAAAAATAGATTAATCTTTCTAGGAAGGCACCATTTAAAAGCACTTAAGCTTCTGTACTTAGGGTTGCTCCTGATCATCCATTATAAACAAAACAAACACAGGTACAGATTTGCTATGAGTGATATTTATCCCAGGAGATTTTGCCAGAAAAAGCAGATCAATCAAGAAGGTGAAATATTAGGCACATTTTTAATTTTTTCCCCCTGCAATGAAGATAATAATATCAAGGATACCCTGATATGTAGGTTAAATGTCATACTTCTTGCCATGGAAAGAGGGCTCACATGCCTAATGTTTTGGAATACTTCATGAATGGCCAAAGAAATAGTAATAATAAGAAAAATGAATGCACCCAAATAAATTTAAGACATTTTGTAAGGATCAAATGGAACGTTTTATAAGAGATAGAATTATGTGAAACTTATGTACAAGAAATGAATAGCAAATCAACATTGATTATTTTTCATTGCCACAAAAAGTTACCAAAAAAAATACAATACCCTGTCCCCCAAACACAACATTCTGCCTCATTTTCTGTCCCATAATTTAACAAACACACAAAATTAATCAACTTTCAATTAAATTCTCTTAATTTAGTGTCATAAAAGATTTGTTTTTAACTAAAAAAAACATGGAGAAATTTAATTTTCAATGACTTGAAGGAACAGTAGTGATATCAAACTGCAGTCCACATTCAACAGAAGTATGCAGTAGTGCAGACAGAGTCACAGAGTCACAGTAGTGAGGTCTTTAGTTCTTGAACATCTAGGAACGGCAATGGTAATCCTATTCATGGTGTAGTTAATCTCACAGTGCTTCACAAACATGTAGATATCGGTACTCATCGAGAGATAACTACATCGTATCTCTACAAATAAATATCTGTGAATGATTGTGCGCTACTGATACTTTAAATTGTTAATCAACCATTTGAAAAAGATTTTATTAGCTTGATCTCATTGAAGTATAACCATTATATTAAAAGGTATATTTCAAATACTAAATCTGAATTGACTTCTTAGCCATAACTGATAACAACTGTCTGAGTGATTAATAAAACAGGAAGAGACATATGCAGTTTAAAACAAGTATTAACCCCACAAAAAAAACTTTGGAAACTCACATTTGATTGATTATATTTCTCTCGTCATTTCATTGCTATGTTTAGTATCATTAGAAAGTGTGTCTATTCCTCTTTAAATCTATACCTCTTTAAAACTATACCCCATTTGGTATGATTGTTTTAGTCATGGAATGTGCATTACATCAAAATAACGTGCAAGGTCAAAAGGGAAAAGTTGCACAATGCACTGCTCTTGTTCAGCTGTGCATTCTTCTCTCTTTGAAGAGTGTAGGGCTGCCTTGTAGTCCTTGGTATTATAACAATACCAGTGCAACAATTTGACAACATTTCACTTTTGACCCTGCCTCTTATTCTGATGTACTGCTCATTCCATGGCTGAAAGTCATAACAAATATGGTATTATCTTAAAGCCCCACTGCACTACTTATAGCTACATGTACTTGCGCCCTCTATATAGCAAACAATGCTTAAGCAGTGACCGTTGGTCCCCCATGATCCCCTTTATCTTATGTTAATTGAAAGCTGATTTGATGAGACAACCACCTGTCAGTGACCTTGCAGGGAGGTCTAATCCCCCTGGCCAAACTAAATAAACATACCTCCTCATGATACTATAAAACAAAGTGCAAATGATCTCATGACAGTACAGAAACAATTGATCAAACTTGAGTTTCCAAACCTTTTTTGAGGTGTTTATGTAAGAGCAACAAAAAAAGGTTGTACTCCAATAAATTACAGTTTGAATATCAGAAATGCAAATGATAGATTTGGCAAAATCCCACTTGTCAAATCTCTTATTCTTAACACATTTTCATATTTCCGGACACTTAAAATAATTCATGAGCAGATCAGACATGTAATCTCTAAGCTTTGGATGAAAGCATCAGTATGGTAAGAAAATTAGCACACCGATCAAACTTGCAGCAAATAATGAATATTCATATTAAGCTGACAGATCCCAAATTCTCTTGATGATGAGAGTGAAGACAATAAAAGCGACAAGATATATATATAAAATAAAACATTCGATCACTTGTTACACAATCACAACACAGCAAAAATGTGGGCCTGTGACATAAACATGACAATCAAACGTCAAATATGAAAAAGACCTAAGAAATAATGACCATCAACTTAAAAGATGATTATTTCTTTGGGCTAACAATTGATTGTAAATGCTTATGTCACAAGGCCTTGTGTCCACAACATTTTGCACATTGTGTTTTTGCAGAAAGTGCTGACAAAAAAGATATTGAGTAAATATATATTGCAGAAGCAGTGTGCGAGATTGCAGAAGACAGACTTTGTACTGACTGGACATTAAACTGTCACAGGCAACCGTTACCTGTCTCTCAAAATATTTCGATAAATGGATAAAGAGCCGTGATCATCGGTGGCAAAGCTGGCTGAGAAACGTCTCGATAGCCGAGCGATATCCCTACGATTCCATGGTCGGTGGATAAAGAACAAGTATGGTAGAAAATTACCTACTATTCCCAAGAATATCTTTATGATAGCTGGAATTATTGTGGAGCTGTTGCCCTTTGGCAGTTCCTATCTCGAGTATTTGAAATATTTACATTATGCACTGATCATCAAAGCCAAAACTGATGAAGAAAAAACCCAGCATTGTCTTTGAAAGAGCTTAAAATTATCAAACCTTACAAAAAATTTAGTATTATTTAGGAAAAGAATAAATTGTCCAAAATTCAAAAGATTAACAAACTTTAAATGAAGATTGAAGGAGCTTAAAGAGCAAATTAATATTTATGTCAAATTTATTACACAAGGTAGAAATATAAAATCTGATTAAGTTTAAGGTTTTGTAAACATCTCTAGTGCTATAGAAATTTGGACACTGCATTGCAAGGGTGATGGCAGGGTGCATCTTGTGCACAAATAAAATAGACCTTAAGATTATGAGATTATAATTGTAGTATCTGAGCAGAAGACATAAAGAGAGAATTGGAAACTATTGTCTCTGCATTACCATTGTCATGTGCTTTAAATACATCTTTAAAAGGACCCTTTTTTCTTGTCACTGGTTATGTGTGATATTTTCTCTTCTCTTTTGCTTAGACCATGCCTAACCCATGGACAGGTTATCATCATTATTATTATTATCATCATTTATTCGGCAAAGACAAAGAAAAATCAGTGAATACAAACAAGTGTACATTTGGAAGAGAGTCACATGGATGCAGGGAAAAGAAAAAGATTAACTTAATAACTATAACCCGAAGGTCTTCTGTTCCAATCCATGTGACTTTACAGAAATGGTAAGAACAAAAGGGTGAGGTAACTATTGGTTCAGATAACTATTGCTATGGTATATGCTGTAAAAGAGCTGTATTTCTGAAGTAGCTTGGATCGGATAATGATCGACACTTACCTGTCTGGAAGGCTACTAGCCCTATCAACGTCCACCGTCAGGAGCTGCGGAGAGTTCCTGGCAGGCAAGGAATGATGGGATAGATCCCCTAGGGGTAGCGAAGCACTATGAGACCTCTCTCTTCTCTCTGTGTCATCGGATGACTGCGATACACTGCTGCACGATCGACTGAACCGCGGAGAGAACGTGGAGAAGTTGCCAATTTCAGGAATGTCCTCGTCATCATCCGAGTCCAGCTCATGGTTGTATCTCTCCGAGCGCGCTGAAATAACAAAAGATTAAGAAATAATAACTACTTTGTAAACAATCCATGAAATGCCACACAAGTCACGTAATTTTGGGGAAACACATTTGAAGTAGATACTTGATAGAATTTGTAATGTAATGTGATTGAGCATCAAGACAATGCATTACATAACTCCTTGTATTTGTTTGGAGCAATCTCTTCTCAGTATATATGTATTTCCTACCCCCCAAAATGGTATGAATATGTCCATAATAGACAGCAAGACTTAATTGCTATGTCACACTTGGAGCCTACAAACTATTTAAAAAAAGTGCTATTCTATCTCTCATGATCATTGTTGCAAAAGACAGGGGTTTGTCTTTTGGTTGATTTTCCTACAAAAATACATACATATACAATCCCATGGAGACAACTGTAGCTTTTAAAAAGAAACTACTAGGGACCGTCTGACTTCCCACATCTAGCAACAGTCTAGAGGTTTTTTTCTCCAAGAATGCATATTATAAACAAAGACAGCAGGGACCCGTTTCACAAAGCCTTTTTTCGATGACAAATGACAAAAATCAGTGAAAAATATGTTGATAACCAATCACAAGCAAGGATTTCAGTAGCCTTTAACATAAACTGTCATTTGTCACTGATGACAAGTTGTGTGAAATGCCCCCCAGGTACCCATTTCACAAAGCCCTTTTTCAATGACAAATGACAAAAATCAGTGACAAATCTGTTAATAACTAACCACAAGCAAGGATTTCAGTAGCTATAACAAAAATTGTGATTTGTCACTGATGACAAGTTTTGTGAAATGCCCCTCTGGATAACTCACCATCAAAATAGCTTGTATCGTCTTCTCCTTCCAGCTGCGGAATGAAGTCAGCCTTCTGCCTCAGCAGACCATTCCAGTCAACCCCTTGAAAGAATCTATGTCCCTTGACGTCTTCACTGCCCCCTGTACCCAGTCTGAAGAGAGGGTCCTGCTGTAGGAAACCGTTGATCAGTTCCATGGCCTCGTCCGATAGGGCATCATCACCGTCGGGCCATTCAATCATAACTGTGGGTAGAATATAGGTCAAAACACGGTAGAACATAGGTCAATACAGGGTTTCTAGTATTGAGATGTCTAAGTAGTAGAGCAGATGTCTTATGACCAGGAGATTCCAGGTTTGAAAGTAAATTGATGTACAAGTGCAAGTGAGAAGAGCATTTATCCTTCATTACCCCTTGGATAAGACTTGAAGCCATAGGTCCTCTTGTTGCTTATCGACAAGTAGTTGACAATTGATGTACTTGCCTTTGTACATGCTTTCTTTGCAGCATTGAGGTTAAATAACAACTGGATCTATCGATCAATCCCGGAACACTATTGGTTATAACGTAAAGTGTGGAGGACAGCGGGAAGGATCCAACCCCTACGTGACATCAATACGTAATTCGATCATTTCATCCCACATCATATCCCCTAATAAGACACAATTTCAGTTTATTTAATTTGCAGTAGGCGGGAAAAAGGCATCATATATTGATTCAGAAAAAAATCTTGTTTCACAGTATTAAAACAAACAGAATGCCTAATTCTTTAGTGCCACAGAATTAATCCTTCAGTTTTCACAACCTGCAACTCCATCAAATGATTCTTGGTTAGGGGTACTATACTTGTTGTATATCTCTACTCACCATTGATCGTCTGTGCGAAGAGTTCTTCCGGAGTCTCACCAAAGAAAGGGGGGCATCCTACCAGGATCTCATAGAGGACCACGCCCATAGACCACCAGTCTACCGGTTTGCCGTACCCCTGCCTGAGGATCACCTCAGGAGCGATGTACTGGGGTGTGCCGCATACCTGCTGGTCCTGGAACTGTTTGGTGTCCCGGTCGATGTTGCCTTCATACAGGTTTGTTGTTACTGTCAATGCAAACATGGAAATGAACAGAAAATGAGGTTTATGCCCCTCTGGACTAGTGTAAAGGAGGGATTTAGACCACCCTACAAGGTCACTTGACAGGTGGTTATCTCATCAAATCAGCTCTCAATTAACATAAGAAAAAGAGGATCATGGGGGACCAATGGTCACTGATTATTCATTGTTTCTTATATAGAGGGCGCAAGTAGCTATAAGTAGTGCAGTGGGGCTTAAATAATACATACAATGAGTATGAGCCTATGCCATAGTGATGAAAGAAGACATGTTACCTAATGCTTATGAAAAAATCTACCCTAAATCCCGTTTTTAATAGTTCTATTTTGATTGAAAGGTTAGTTTGCTGAGAGAATGAATATAAATCGATATCAAGAAAAAGTATACCGTCTTTCCAACTTTTGTGATGACAAGCTGAATTTGCAGATGAAAGAAATCATCAAAAAACTTTTCAGCTACTGCCCCCAACCCCAACCCTGAAAAATGTATCTTATGTTACGGAATAGGATTGGAGAATATGTAACAACTACCCATCCCCCTTTTAGACAGATTTAGGGATCTGCAATTTGGCACAAATTTTCTGCATCCACTCTGATACAAACCCTTGCTATGATATTTTACCTAGATGAGCCTAAAAACTTTAACACATTGCCTATTGGAACTGGGTGGGTACTGTATTAAGCCCAGGAGAGTCAATGAACTTGGAAGTCAGTGGGTTACAGTCTTATTAAATGAGATACTCACAGCTCATGATACCAATCTTGGACAGACCAAAGTCAGTCAGCTTGATGTGTCCTGTCGATGTAATTAACATGCTGTGAGAAAAAACATAAACAAACATTAAATGAAACAACATGAACAATTCCTACTTACAATTAATATTACACATGCAGTTTGCAATGCAGACATGATGACGCTCACTAGTGTCCAGGGTAATACCTCATTATGATCAGAACAACAAGATAACTACTGTGCAACAAGACATTTAATTGGATAGAGTCCTGACAGCCCTAGGGATAAAACCTGCTGGTAGATCCAATTTTTTGTTATCTATACGCTGTCATAAAATATAAATTGAAATAATACATTATATCCTATCAATAACAAAATGAAAGGAAATTAAATTTGTGTGTGACCTGAGGGGATCGGAACAGTGAGTCAGGATTGATATGAATTATGTCAAAAGCTCTACTTTACAAAAAAATAGAAGAGGGCTGACTTACTTATCTGGTTTGATGTCCCTGTGTACGATTCCATAACTGTGTAGATACTCTATGGCTAGTACTGCTTCAGCAAAATATAATCTGAAAGATAAAATTAAACAATAAATATATATCAAATCTGGAGAAAATGAATAGCAGGAATTTCTTGCAGCGTCACAGAATGGGGATTACTTAAGGAAGAGGGGGAAGGATACTAATAGGAGACAGAGAATGGGTTATGGGGGAGAACAAGGCATAATAGTAGAGAGAGAGAAAGAGAGAGAGAGAGAGAGAGAGAGAGAGAGATAGGGAGGGGAAGAGAAAGCATTCATATTCGTTTCTGACAGAAAGCCACAGAGTGACATTTTGAAACCATCACATGAAAAACAAAGCAGATATAGACATGTATCAAACCATGTCATAAGAAAAGAGTACCATTAATTACTTTATGTAATACTACTAATGATCTCTTCTACTTGTATCTGGTCATCCTTAAAATCTGCTGCGCTTTTGAAATCTGACCTTCCAACATATGTTACCCCTCATTAGGGACAAAAAAGTTCACTAGAATTCATTATTCCATCGTCACAATGCAGATGATGATGATAAAGTCATGGGGTTTTATGGATGGATTGAACCCAACCTTATTAGTAACTACATCCTGTTATTGAAAACAAGACTTGACAAACGAACTGCAAAGTATGACTTTTATGATGGCCATTTATCACTCTCCACTTTTAAAACCCAGGATAAGAGAAAGTTTGAAATGTCTCCATAGTTTTCTGTAAATTTTCTAGCAGTTGATTCGATTCCATTCAATTTCTTTCTTTTGATCTGGGCATTTACTTCAAACTATGTAACACACTTGTCGCGAATATCTTTTGATTGCTGAGAAATTATTGCAACTTGCATTTGCTTTATAATATAAAAGTTATAAAGCACAATAATCCATAACAATGACACAATTGTTGGGTCTTCATTTTTTGCTTATTTGTTTTAGGGGTTGTCTCTTCAGTTTTGATAATGGAATAGCCTTTTGAAAGAATCTGATGAATTGTTCATCCCATCATACAATAGATGCATCATTTGTACAAGTAAAATAGAAACAAACAACAAAAACTTGCTTGTAATCACATTAACTAAAAAAAGTATAACTCATACTAGGCCACATGCTTCCCATGTGAGGTAGGACGACAAGCTGAATTAAAAAATAGATCATATATCTCTATGCTCATTATTCAGCTACTATATTGGTTTTCTACCAACATTATGTGGAAGATGCTATCTAATTGTCATCTTGAACATAATTTTCATTTAGTTCAGTGTGAATTTTTCGAGATAGCTTTATGTTAAAGAGAGAACCAAACATTACCTGTTTTTTAAATTGTATATGCTTCAACTGGCAAAAGATTGATTATTGGTGATTAAAGTGATGTGATAGCTGGTATATAGTCTTACCTGGCTGTTTCCAGAGGAAGTGGTCCTATATGTTTGATCAAAGTAGCTACGTCTCCTCCTTCTACATATTCCATCACCATGCACAAATATTTCTGATGAAGAGAAAGAAATAGAGAAGGAAAAAATGAAAAATATAATTTATGATACATGTAGTTGTCAAATCAAATCAAACCATACCAAATCAAACAAAATCAAATATAAATACATTACACAACTATTACGTAATTACTATTTTGGCTGAATGTTTCTTTCAATTGCCCTCCTTTTATTAGAGAAATATGAAAACAGAAAATCCATGACAAACATATAGTTTTCAAATCAAATCTTTTATGAATATGAAGGATTCACTTGATTTCTCATGTATAGTTGGGCTGATCAATCTTTCATAGAACGTTGCAAAGGTTGGCTACTGGCATAACAGATAAAATCACAGTTTTTGCAAAGATAATGATCCTTACAATCTTTTTATTGAGTGATACAGTGTACCTGAATATTGATACCACTCAAGGGAGACAAGAAGGGTAGTCCATATAGACAGGTGGTCCATATGTACAGGTTCATTTAGAACATGGTTATTAAGAACATGTTTGAACAAGAAACACATTTCAAGGGAAATGAAAAATGTGGTCATTATTGACTGATGGGTCTTTCTATACGTGTGGTAGCTAAAGCAAGTGTCACTGTGGGTGTTTTAAAGTTGAACATAACACATTTAATGATCACATGGACCTTGTAAAATCCAAGGATTGCCTGTACGTCATCTTACCTTTGTTTCAAAGCTGCAGTAGAGAGCCACAACGAAAGGGTTCTCCGCAAACGTGAGGATGTCACGTTCAGCAAAGACCTGCTCCCTCTGGTTCCGAAGGGCAATGTTCTGCTTACATATCTTCTTCATGGCAAACCTCTGCAGAGATGCCTTGTGTCGCACCAAGTATACAGCACTGTGGAAAGAGATTATAATAATTATAATTATAACAATTATCTTGTTTACCCAGGGTAGCCTAATTAGTATTAATACTGTTCTCCCTGAGGGCCCTGCAATCATATTATTACCCTACCTTTAGCCGAGCTACCATTATGAGATGCTCAAGCATTCATAGAATTTCTGTCTACTGAGAACCCATTCACTTCTCCTGGGAGGAGAGTGGGAATTGCAGGCTAATGTGATGGGATTCAAACCATGAACTGTGTCAATCATAGTCCACTGATGTATTCACTAGACCACGACACCTCTTCAAAGATTTTAAGAGCTTGCCACATTAAAAGATAAAGTTGAGTTCTGGTCAAGCGATTGCATTGTGAAAGAAATGGTATGGAATCGATCAGAAAAAGTTGATCATGTAGCAAGTATTAGTGTGTACTGCAAGGTTCTGGAGTCATCAAAATTATAACAAAGTTGGCCCTGTATTGGTAAGCGAATGAGCTCTGTACACAGGAAGATGTGAAGATTGGACTACACATACATGTGGCATAAAAATTGGGCCTCATTTGTAAGCCGTTACTTGTCATAATTAGAATATGAAGGATTTGAAGAGCCATGCTTTTCAGGGAATATTTTTATCTCTGATGTTCTTCAACACTCGCATATTAACAATGATAATGCTCACAAATTATTTGTTCACCTCTCCCCAAAACTCAACCTTCTCTTTTAGGTACTGCATAAAATGAACATGATTAGACTCCAGCGCCATAACTTACAATGTGAACAAATGTATGAAAGGTTATAATTTGTTATTCAGGGCTACACTTTTGAAATAGCGCAGTGTGCCAGTTGGGAGGAAGACAACAAAAAATTGATTTGACTTGTATCCAGTTTGTTTATAATTAATAAAGTTAGATGTATTCTGTGCTATATCAGACACTTACCCATATGCTCCATTGCTGATGATCTTGATGTTCTCAAAATCTTCTTCTCTTGGTTCCTTAAAGCAGTCTCTACCATCAACATTACTCTTGATAAATAAAAATGAAATGACAATGACAGTATTACCTCTATATTTTAATTCCTAACTATATATTACTTGAAAATATTTTCATATCACATCATTGCCTTATGGAACACTTTTATGGAACAGTTTTATAGAACACAATTATGGAACACTTTACCATTACAAATAAGACAATCGTCATTAATCGAAATATTTAAGAAGAAACTTAAGCACCATTTATTAATGTCTTAGTTTTAATACTGTATAATTATTTTGATATTGTACAGAGCCCCTTGAGCAGTCTTTTAGAATGGATATTTGCGCTTTATAAGTTGACATTATTATTATTACCTCACATACAAGTATTTTCATATCACAAGTTAATTATCTGTAACAACCCCTTTCCTAACTATGCACCATCTCCCATTCCCCCTTTTTTGTTCAATCTCTCTTTTTTTTCTTGCTCTCTGCCTCAATCTCTTCTCTCTCTCTCTACAGTTTTCTGCCCATGCTAACATATTCCTCCAACATGACCAGTTTGAATGCAAGCTGTAACATAAGATCTTCAACCCTCTCATCCAATGCCCACATTTGTGGTTGACACACCATGAAATGACTAGCCAATCAGAAGCAACTTCTGTTGATGCAACTATATCTCAACCGCCTATGATGACAAACATTAACACCAACCCCACCGTTACCATGCTCCTTACCTTTCATCCTCTCCTGAATCCTGGCGTGGCGGTGAGGGGGAATCCCCACACAGGTCGCCCACGTCTGGAAAGTGATCAAAATATGCTATATGAGGTCAACCATAGGCGAGTGAGTAGAAACCCATCACATAACATGACAGGAAGAGCAAAGGGTGGACCATGTGGGTCATCAACATGATTTCAATGTGCATTTGAATGTTTCAAAATCATGAAGACATACATGGAATGAATCACGACATTCCCATTATATATTGCATTCAAATTGATAAATTTTGAAAAATGTGTAAATAAGAAACATATGGATATGCCATTGAGTTAAAGTTAACACCAATGAAATGAAAAAAGGAATTTTGGTTTGAAGGAATTATACAAAAAAATCATTGTAAATTTTCACAGCAAACATCACAAGCATGCCATTATGAAACACCAATTTTTTTTATTTCAACAAGGAGTTGCACACAAGGTTAAAAGGATAAATGGAACCAAACCCATTTTTAGTTTGTAAAATAGCGTGAAGAAGTAGTATGGACCATGAGTTTTCATCGGATGCCCACAAATGACAGTTGAAGGTTGGTGTGTTGAGGATATCGGAGCACATGGGAGGTCACACAAGGGAGGAATGCCATAGCCAATAAGATGTTGATTTCCATGGTAACGGGATAGCATCAGGTCCAGAGTATGGAGACAGCACAGGAATGGATCGGCAGACCACAGAGGTGGTTGTCAGGTGACGTTGAACATCGATTGGTGATAGGTGAGAAGAGAAGAGATTAAGAGAGGCAGATGTGAGCATGCAAGTGATGCAGGAAGAAGGAAAGAGAAGAGAAGAATTGTTTTTGATGGATGAATGCAAGCAGACAAATGTGATGGAGGATGATATGTTGGTGAGGTTTGGAAGATAGAGGGATGATGGAGAGATAAATACATAGATAAGCAGAAAAAAGTAAAGATAACCAAGACAGGAATGATGACAATTATGATAGTGATGGTGGTGATGATGATGATGATGACCATGTTGCCAATAAAATTGATGGTGATGATAATGGTGATGATGATAGTGATGATGATGATGACGATGATGACGATGATGACATTGACAATAATATTGATGGTGATGATGTTGATGTTGTTGACAACAGAAAAAAAAGGAAAAAAAATACCAATACGAAATAGAATCAAACAGATTCAAGCAGAAAAATAGTAATGTTTAGTCAGCATTAGGATTAATATGAGGAAAGAGATGAAACAGTTATTTGATGTGGTGTTAAAATAGAAAACAAGAAAAGCAGGGGAGAAGGGTGTAAATTGGAAGAAAAGAAAAAGAAAATATAGAAATTAACCACTTACAAACAATCTACACTTTCACTTCATACAGTACAATAGTGAACTTTCAACAAGGTTGAATACTTTGCAGTGCATATCAAGAAATAACAGTAACGAAAATTCACAACAAACATATTGCTCTATACTTTGCAATTCTTGTTAAGTTGAAAAATGTGGATGTTAAAAGCTTTCACACATTGTCAATAAGCACACTAACACTATATAATTTGTTGAAGAAATTATCTTTGTGTTTGAAGAAAAACTACAGATACATATATACATTTACACAAAAATATACTACTCAGTGTAAAGAATGAAAAGAAAAATAAATAAATATATATTTGAACATAAATATGATACTCTTAATATATATTACACCAGAAACAATGACATGCATACACACCAACGATGTGAACACTACGAATATCACTCCAACAATGTACAGATATAGAACAGAATACTACTTCAATTTCAATATCAGGGGAGGAGGGGGGGGGGGGGGGGGGGAGGGGGCTATTAGCTGAGCAATGGAAATGAAAGAAAAAAGTAGCTTCCTTTAGGAAGGTGTATGCAGCATTCACTCACAAAACATTTGCTTCAGGCTTTTATTTTGTCACAGACATGGGGTCAGGGTTAAGAACGGAGTTAAGGTCTACGGCTTGGTTAAAATCATAGCTACGACTACATTAAAGTCGTAGACCCAAGTTTAGATCCAGTTTTAAAGTTTGGAATTCAACTCGAGTAAGAAATTGTTGATGTAGCTATTGGTTCAGGAGCATGCCTCAAAAAATCCAAGAAAGAGAGATGCTTTCCAAATGCTTTACAGTATATTTATAAATCCATCTAGAGAGTCAGAGGGGAACGGACGAGATGACAATGTCTCTTACCCAAGGGATCTTTGGTTAGTCCTAGCTGGTGGATGATGTACTTTGGTAAGTCTTCTGAAATAGTGGATCCAACTTTGGCCTGGTCCTCAAAAGATTCCAACAGCTGGAAAAACTCCTCAGGGTCGAATTCCTATTCAAATAGAAAGGGACATTTACATTTCGAATATTCACGGATATACTTGGTACAGTCAAACCTGCTTTAGTGACTACCTGTCTACAAAGACCAATTCTTTGTTTCCCTTGAAAATGGTTTCTCATTGAAACATGTACTAAAGAAACCTGGCTACAAAGACCACTTTTTGTCTTTCCTTTGGGCGGTCGCTATAGACAGGTTTTTTTTTTTTTACTGTATTACACTACCAGAAGCAATTAAAAGAATTTTTTTTTTAAAGAGAAGGCAACCCATTTTGCTACATTAAAGATTGATGCCTTTAACCTTATTGACTTATTGACTATCATCTTACATACAAAAATGACTTGATTTATTGAGGGTTATATAATAATCAACAAATTCTCCTTTACAGACTGAAATGGCATGAAAACATTTCCTGATACACTTCACCCCTAAGCTACAAATTTTAAGGGGGGACATAAAAGTGATGACTACGGTGCAAGCGTGTCTGTCCTATGGGTTTTGTATGATGATTAATGTGTACTCACCAGGCATTCAAGAAGTCTAGCTGGCCTGGCTAGTATCATCAGTAGGTCTCTCACTACCCTCGTAAATGACTTGGCAGAGACTTGAGATCGGTTCTCAGCCTGTCAATAAAAGCACAAAGGTAAAAAGACAAAACGGAAGGGTCTAGTTAATGATTAGTCATCGTCCGAATGCTAGCTATCTCCATCATATGTTCGAATGCATTTGCATTTAATAGCATGCATCGTTTTGCTCCTAGTACTGATGTTTTCCCTATGAACCTGTACTTGTAAATTTTCAATTCACTTGTATGAAACTATTTTTATAGATTAAACAAATTTAAATACTTTATCAGAAAGTATGAAATTATCTTCATGAATAGAATTAACCCTGCAAATATTGGCTGCTGCTATACCAGATAAAGCTTCTGAAAATTTCAGTAAATCTATCAGAGTATTAAATCAATTTTGTTTCAAAACTTTATATCACTTTAATACATTAGCAAACTGGTATTATGTATAATCAACTTTCATCCCAGTATGTTATTTTCAATTATAACTTTAAGATTAATTGCAATACATAATTATTGATCCAATCTACAAAATGCTAAGTTATGACACTCAGTCATATTGAGCCTTCACTATGTACCTCCCCTTTTCTTCATTCTTGTTGTATCATTTTATGCACCTTTTCTGACTGTTTTCAGAATTTAAGCAAAGAATCATAAGAGTATTCAAAAGATCTGTAATACTGTCATCGTTCCAAATCCACAGAGTAAAACTGAGGAGCGATTTCTTTGGAAAAGAGAGAAAAACAAGTTGAAAGAGCATTGAATAATAAGAAGAGGCTGGCATCTGGTACACCACATTATAAATCGAGGGAACCACATTGATTTACAATTCACATCACATTCCACGTGGGTGATTTAAAAAGAAGCACTGCCCTCTGGAGACTCATACTTGACAGTTTTGGCGTAAGCTAAGAATCCCTATTTGACAGGTTTTCGATGCCAGGTTAACCTATGACTCTAAGGAGTGACGTGGGAGCCTTTAGAAGTGGTTTGTATGGAAGAAAACAATCAACTCTCATTTTCTTCATTTCGGACAGGAACATCTTGAGATGATCAGTTGTCTCTATATTTGCCCTTGCCATGATTCATGGAGTTTTATTTGCTTGTTTTAAAGGAAAACGCTGATTCATATTGTGTAATATTTATGTCTCATTCTTTGTAATAATACATCTGTCTCCTTTCTTAATACTCATTACTTCTGTTATGTTGCATTTGTTTGCCTCAAGTTTTCTCTCCTCTTCTCCCACCATTAGTTTTCCTCCTTTATTTCTAATATTTATTTCCTCTTCAACCTCTCTCGTCATCTTTAGTTCATAGTACAAAAAAGGGGCCAGGGCAAAAAGGTGCAGACAGAGGCAAGTACAGCAGATGTTTTTATTTTTTTATTAAATGGGGGAAGGGGGATGGGGGACATATTTGGAAAAGTTTGGACTTTTCTAAGACTACTTCCATACAAAATATTTCAGTCTGTACATTGTCTGCATTGTTAAAGGTAATAGGTAATTCATGCTCTTTATTATTTATAAACAATATCTTTTTATCCTTTCATCACACAACTCAAAAACTGAAAAATAAAATTGACCAACATTCATGTTCTTGTCCTTCTGCCTGAAAATGCATTTGTGAAGATAATCCCCCCCCCCCCTCAGTGTTTCTCATTGTATTCAGTATAACCTGTACGTAATAACTACCTGTCTACAAAGACTAAAATTTCTTCTTGATTCACCTGACTAGGGCCCCGTTTCACAAAACTTATAATAAGTGACAAATTACAGTTTTTGTTATAAGCTAGTGAAATCTTTGCTTCTGATTGGTTATCAGCAAATTTGTCACTGATTTTTGTCATTGAAAAAAGGCTTTGTGAAATGGGTCCCGAATACAGATTTGACTGTAAAAGTTGAATGACTTACATCTTCTGCCAGCATTTGGACCTTGTGGGAGACCTCGGTGAAGTAGATATGGGAGACCTGGTCCTCTTGTGATTTCTCTAAGCAGTCCCGGGCTAGTTCTACCGTCTGATGGACCAGGAAAGCATAGATTGCATCGTGCCCTTCCTGGCTCATATCCATTGAATACTTGTTGATAAAGTCCTGGAATAAGAGATGAAATACGATAATATTTGCATTTAGATAAATCTTCATTCTTGGTAGATGGTTGCAACCTTATGGTCCTATGCTAACATACTCATTTATATAATGCATTGTTTAGGGTTATGAGAGAAGGCTTAGGCTAACCCTCACCTGAGCACTAGACCTACATGTAACCCTAACCATAAACTCTTTGCATTAATAGTGTGTATGACCTATAGGATGCCACCTTCCATATAGTCAGTCCTTGGGTATCCTGTATCATTCAACACTCTGGGGGGCATTTCACAAAACTTGTCATCAGTGACAAATGACAGTTTTTGTTATAAGCTAGTGAAATCCTTGCTTCTGATTGGTTATTAGCAGATTTTTCACTGATTTTTGTCATTTGTCCTTTAAATTTAAATTCTCTTCCCCATCCATTTTCCTAAAAAGTGGTAACAATTTACAACTCTGTTGTCTTAAGACCCTAATTTTGAAAGAGACAATAGAGAAACGATGGGGAGAGGCTGGATCTATACTTACAGTGAGTTTGGTTTCCATCTGTTGTTTAGCCTTGGGGAATCTCTCCTTGTAGAGGCTGTTCATGTGTAGCATCTCATGATCGGTACTACCCACCAACGGACTGCTTGCACCACTACAGTACCATGGAAACAAAGGAAAACAAATTCAACATATGAGTCAATATCTTGATTTGTACAATGTCAATTTTATACTTTTTTTATTCAAAAACTCCCATATTGCACATTGTTATCAAACAAGAGTTACAATTGCTCCATCTACAATAATATCATAATCAACGTATAGGAAGAATAAGGTTAATTGTAGACTAGTGCAGATATATTTGAAAGAGTGATTCATATTCTTTGTAAACATCAAATAGTCAGCAAAGAAAAAAGTACATTATATTCATCCCTGTTTTGAGAATGAGAATATCTGAATATAAATGTTGCCAGTCTAGGATTGAGAACAGCAGTTCCATTGATACTGTAGCTTCATTAAAGTATGTCATGTTCAGGTAAATTTCACCATTTATTGCTTGGTTTGTTAATTTGCCAATGTTTTCATTTGACCATGTGCATGTTAAGCAGCTGGAGAATTTAACCATTACCTCTAAAATTAAAAAAAAAATGATTAATGCAAGTCATGACAAATCTGCAGTTACAATGTATTGAGTCAGAGTTAAGTAAAATCATAACTGTCGCATGGCCCTCGCGTACACAGATAACGCGTGGCGCGTGCGCCACGCGTTCCTGATGGGCCCGACCTAGCGCCACGCGTTCTTTAAAAAAAAAAAAAAAAAAAAAAAAAAAAAAAAAAAAATCAATTTTTGTTTTTGTTTTTTTGTTGTTGAAAAATCAGAAAATTCCGGATTTTCTGGTCCTAGAAATCCCCCAAAAACATAATATTCCGAATTATTCGTAAGGGTTGGCAGGTATGGTATTAAAAATTCATCTTCATCAAATTACTTGTAATACTTGTAAAAAATAAATTTAAATTTAAATTTAAATTTAAAAAAAAAAAAAAAAAAAAAAAAAAATCAAATTTTTACCTTTTTTTTTGGGGGGGGGGGGGGTCAAATTTTCCCTCGGGTCGCGCCACGCGTTTTTAAGTTCTTGGCGAGAGGCCTGGTCTCATGCATTCATGTATGAATGGAAAAACTCTGATTATCTTCACTAGTACAAAGATTGCATGTAAAATTGTAAATAAGGATGGGGTTTGTCCTTTAAAGTCAGGGGTGATAGTGAGCACTAAAAAAAAAATAGGTTTTTTGTTTTCCCCTCAACCACGCCCCCCTTGAGTAAAAAAAAAAAAAAGGCGATTCGCGGGGAAAAAAACGGCATCTAACAACATTCCCCCCTTTCGAGTAAGAAAATTGGGAGAAAAAAATAGGGCAAAATAGGGAAGAATATAGAAAATAAGAATCAGGAAAATCAGGATAAAAAAGGGAAGAAAAAAAAAAAAATCTGGTAAAAAAAAAAAAAAAAAAAAAAAAAAAAAAAAAAAAAAAAAACTTTTTTTTTTTTTTAAATCGGGAAGAAAAAAAAAATCGGGAAAAAATCGGGAAAAATCAAAAAAATCGGGAAACCGATTTAAATCGGGTTTTTATCAGGCCTGTAAAGTGCAAATATCATTTTAAAAGCATGATTTGTTTCAAGATAAGATGTAATCCATATATATATATATATTGCTATGAGCTAGCAGTGCACTGGTATGATGTTTTGTGTATATATATATATATATATATATATAAAATATATATATATATCTTTAGTATCCTATCCACCACTTTCAGCCATGCATTGTACTGCGTAGTGTATGTATGCAGTTGTGTGTATAATCATGAACATAAATTGTTACCTATTTACACATAATTTTTCAACATTCTAAATGATGACATATTAAGTTCTCGTGTACAAAAAGGTGCATTCTTCTATATTATTTAAACAAATTAGTTCATTGAAATGTAACCTACTGTCTCAGTTAATCAGCTACACATATTTATAAGGGTCCTCTTTTATCTTTATTTTGTACAAAAAATATATTCAACAGGTTATCATGAACAGTAAATGGAAGTCTTGCTTGGAATTACTCTTGGAGTTAGCTCTGCAACGATATGACTGAAACTTAAATGCACACAGATAATGCCCATTAAACATATTTCTTTTCTGATTTTTTAATCTATTTTTTTATTTATTTATTTATTTTATTTTTTATTTTTTATTTATTTATTTATTTATTTATTTTTTATTTTTTATTTTTATTTATTTTATTATTATTATTTTTTTTTTTTTGGGGGGGGGGGTGGAGTCTCTATCGCAAGAAATTTTAACATGACTGTATTATTTTGTTAAACATAACAACAGGCACATTGAGATAAAAAAAAACATAAAAACATTACAAAAAAAAAACTTATTTCCTTTGAACTTGACATGGGAAGAGGGAACAAAATATAAATATAAATATTCTGATATATACAGCAACAAGGTATATACAGTACAATTACTTGTATCATGGAAAGCAAGTACTAAATAACTTTTGAAAACACAACTAAACATCTGTACTAGATGTATCATACCACATAATACTGGTGTTATTCAGTTAATACCTGATTAGAAACTTATCTCCTGTACTGCACTTAAAGTTTAAATGTGTGACTGCATTAGTAGTTAAGTGTACATCTTGAAAATACAAGACAACCTAAACACATGTAAGCGTAACCTGTTTAATATATTACTTTATATCTGGTGTATCAATCAAACGTACTAAATGTGCACAAACAATGGAGTTGCTAATCACATGATTTCTATATACATTAAAACAATTAACTTGAAAAGAATTGGCTCTATAACTTTATTATCAGTTCTCATGTCACAAAGCTATTCATCTTCGTAAGTCGACTTGGATATTTGATTCTATAACTTTTCTGAACACGTACATGTACAGGTACATGTAATATTGTATTCCTCATTCAAGAGAGAAAATAATGATATTTTAGACAATGTATATCCTATAAATATTGTACATGCAAAAACAAAGGGATGATTTACCAAATAAAAAAAATCTATTTCTTGGCTCAATTCTTTAATAATTCTTAACTCTCTACCAATCCCATCAAAATCAAGTTCAGATATTACCAAAACGCGTTTTCACAAATTACCACCTTATACTAAAAGCAAAAGTAACTCATAGGTCATAATCTTTTGAAGTTGCATTAGATGATCATGAAATTCACGTTTGAAACTCATTAAAAAACTGCATTGTTACTAATCCGTTCCATCTAATAGAAACCCTACATAACACATATCATTTCCTTGTTATAAACATTGAGCCGATGATCTAAAAGTGAAAGAAATGACACTGAAAAAGTAGAAGATACTTCAGAAATTCTCTGAATTTCATCATTTATTCCTGAACCAAATTATACCAGCACAATGAAATAACATTTCGATTTGAATTTACTATGCATCTCAACATAAGCAAAGTAAAATTGATGATTTAATTTTGTGTTCAATATTCTGCATATTACCGTTATGATATGGGTAGTGCAGATTTGTAATTGAAAATATATTACGCCTCCCACCTCACAAAGCATGATGGAAGATAACTCAAAGACCCATGTTTCCCATTGGCTAAATTAAAAAAAAAAATATCTGTACCTTCCCAAAATACTAATGGTCATGCATGAATATTACGTCTCCAATCTAAAAATGTTAGTTTAAACAGCTTACAACCTCAGGTGCTAAAATGGAATATTTCACAATATTTTTTGATATTGATATACAATTAAGGTAATCAAAGTAGTATATTAAAGAATTAACTTTAGTACTGGTAATGCGATTGCATTGTGAAAGAAAAGGTGTGAAAGGATCAGAAATAGTTGATCATGTAGCATGTAAGTATTGGTGTGCACTGCAAGGTTCTGGAGTCATCAAAATCATAATAAATTTGACCGAGTCTTGGTAAAGTAACAAGCACTCACATAGAAAGCTATATATGGGACAACACACATGGTGTCGGGGCTAGTACTACCTTGATTTCCTTGTCTTTCTATGCTCATTACTCAGCCAGTATACATTTTCTTCCAAAATTGTTTGGCACATGTCATTTATTTGTAATCTTGAACATTCAGTGTAAGTTTCGTTTGATTCTGTGAGAATTAATTTTTTTTTTTACCAGTACTGGAGTTTATCTTTAAAGACAAATCAAATAGTTACATCTGCTTAAAGCCAGTGTTGCATTAAATCATCTAACAAATACTTAGTACCATATTGGCTTTCAACATATGGTCTGATAATATAGCCATATTTCATCAATAAGAATAATTTTATAGATTATGCAGACTGATTCCTGAGTGAGTTAAAACAATTTGTGAGGAAATCGGAAAGGAAGTTTTTCCTGTCTAATAAAAAAAAATCATGTTTTATTTTTCTCCAATGCTTTCACCACACAATGTTTTGTATAAAGGAAAACATCTGTGATTATGTAGCTTTAAGATACCAAGCTACTGTAAAACCAGAATCCATTTATAATCAAACTTTTGCGAATCTAACCCAACAAAACAAAAATTTGAAAAAGTTTCATGTACTCAAAATTTTATAGTATTACAGTATAAAATCATGTCTTATCTCATATGGACACCAAATAATAACCCTATCTAAAAACAAATTCAAACGTAACTTTTACAAACATCTTCAATAACATTTCCAAAGAAACAGTAGACCTTGGTGGAGTTAGTATAATACTGACAGTACCAACATGCATTCGATATAAACCTTACAAAAATGGGAGAAAACTGCTGAAGTTCTGATCAAAGGGATTCAATGCAACATGTCCTATACGATATCTGACATTTCTCCATTTATTTTTCACTAACTTATATTTTTTTTCTGGTATCAAGAGCATTATTAAATTATCATATCAAGATATTTATTTTATTTTATTTATTTTTTAGTGCAGATAATGGGGAAAAAAGACATATCGTATAAGACACATCGCAAGGAATCATCCAAGAACAAAGGAAGAGGGAGGTAGGTAGGTAGACCAGCTTGCTATATGGAAGGCAGAGTAAATATCAAAAGGAGAGGTGATTCTTATATGATATCGAGGCTTACGCAAACTGGGATGTGAACGAGATGATCGGTCGATCGGGCAGGGATAGCCAAGAGAGGCTGCCATTAGCAAAAAGATTGTCAGACAAGCAAACAATGAGAAGGTGGGAATAAAGAATGAAATACAATTAGGTAGGAAGGGGTAAGAAAAAGAATTCAAAATGAACATTGGAGATTGTATGTGAACACTGAAAGGATAGAATTCTTAATTGGTACAAACACATCATACAGTTTACTACATAGTTGACTGTAAAGCTTTGGTAGGGTGAGAAAGAATCGAGTTGTAAAATGTGAGCCTATCTTCAGAAGTACTGCTTTTCATTTTGAAAGAAGCATACCAGATGATAGGCCCAACACTGGACCATCATCTTATAAGCTACATTGATTTTTACTAGAGAAAATCACATTAATATTGAGTGTCCATTTTGTTCATGCCAACATTTTTTTGGTAGAATCTGCTTGCAAAAGTCATTCAAATTTAGGATGAACTATTATATTTAATGATTTATATAATTATCTTATTCTACATAAAAATTATAGTTTACTAGAAGCAAAAAAGATGTGAGTTTTCAGGTGATTTGATATCAAGCATGATTTTGAAGATGTTTATCTGTAACATAAATCATCGTCTGGAAGGCCAGAAGGGCATTAACTTGATATTAATGGATACAACCAAACACCCTTCTGGCTCTCAGCTGATGGATTATGTTAGCATACATTTAACATGTGTTTCAATGCTAGCCTGGAGGCAGGCATCTTTTAACGTGCTCGGAGACTGGATTGCAAGCACGTCTCACTGCAGGTAAGAATTCAGAGTCAATACAAACACGAGGTAGAGAGAGAGAGAGAGAGAGAGAGAGAGAGAGGGCTGGGTTGGGGATAGCATAGGGAATAGGGTACATGATGGTCGAGCTGTATACGGAAGTGTCCCAGTAACGAGAGAGGGGGAAGTTTGATTTGGCCACTGTGTAACAGGAACTTTACTCTGTATGTTTGTATTCATGGTCAGGAATAAATCACAAGAACCATCTCTCTTTCTGTCTGTCTCTGTCTCTGTCTCTCCTCCCCTCCCTCTTTCTCTCATCTTCCTCCTTCTTCTTCTTCCATTGGAGTACATGTACATCCCTCTTATAGAGTATTTTTGTTCTCTCTCTCTCTCTCCCTCTCCCCCCTCCCTCTTATGATGCTGAAGATGTAGGAAGGATAGTAGATAATCAAAGAGGGAAGTAAAAACAGAAAAGATATGGAAGAGAACATATTAAAGAAGATTGGGTATAGAGATTTGAAAAAAATAATGGCAGTAGAAAATGAAAAAGAAGACTTAAGCAGCAGTAACATATGTAGAAGCAGCAGATAAAGACAAAGAACAAGTATTGTAGGGAGACGAAGAGACAATCACAGAGATGTTTGACTCACAACCCACAGACTTACCTAAGACTCCTAGATCGAGGTCTACATGAAGGAGATCTCCTGCCATCTTCCTGGTCCCCTCCTACATTACTCTCACTGCTACTGAAATGCTGTGAGAGGAGCTGAAGATCCTCAGGGGTGGGTTGGTAGGGTAGCTGATGAAGACGCTCCTGACTTGAACAGGACGACTGAAAGAAGAATTACAGACAAAGATTGGTCATTGAATTAACTCTATATTACTCTTAAATTACTTTTAAAAGGCACCACAGCTTCTTAAAGGATGTATTGGAGGGGAGAGTGAAGGAACTGGACCAAGATGGAGACCCAGAATCAACTGGGAAAAGAATGTCAAGAACTGGAGTGGACTAAAACTGCAAGAGTGCACCAGAATGGCAGAAGATAGAGTGAAATGGATAGATGTTGCAATCAACCTCCTAACCGGGAGAAGACAATATACAGTGCGTCCCAGAAAAACGAAACCGAGAAGTATCGATGTTTTATCATAACTTAATCACAACCATAATTAATGAATGATACATATTTGGAAAGCTTAGAGTCTCCTCTTTCAGTTGATGCTACTCAGATGATGCATATTTCACGCAATTTGAAGGAAGGAAACCAAAAAGACATTTGGCGGGCGGTTTCTGAATTTCAAAGAAAAATTCACATTTCTAGAAAGATGAGTTTCTGCCCTTTCATATGACACCTCAATCAGGAAAAATGAGCGAGGAATAACAAAGTTCTGTTTGTTTAAAGTAGCCCTTACATTTTCATAATTTTAACAAACGAATTCGTTTTCACTGGGTGCCTGCTGTAGCAAGAAGCAGATTTGACAAAAGACTTAACTCTGTTTCGTTGACAATCAGCCATGCATGAACAAAAGTTTGTCAAAATGTTACATGCATCTAAATGGTGACAGTCATTACTAAGCTAAGAAAACAGCTATGAATTAGATTAAAAAGTTGAGAGGGTTGGTGGAGCAATAACATGTGCAAGGAAACCATCTTCTGCCTGATGTAGAGTTAAAAGGCAAAGTGGGCACGAGGGTGGGTAGATGTTTTGTAAAAGGATAACATGTGAAAGTGATAACTTACCGATACAGCTGAACTGGGTGTGTTCGTCCCGTACCCCGATGATGGCAGGGATGCCAGAGACCATCTTCTACCGTCAGCCTGACGTACAGAGTTAAAGGCAAAGTGGGCATGAGGGTGGATCGGCACTCGAGGACTCTCCAAAGGACTCCCTGAACAGAAGAAAGAATGTTCACACGTACGTTCCATATGATTTGATCAGGGTATAACACATTTTCTGTAGACTCTACCTTGGGTTAATTTAATGCAGGTTCAGTATTCAAGTTAAACATGAGAAGATTCATCTTGAGCTTAACTTTTTCACCTTCAAAGGATATTATCTTTTGTCCATCACAAATACATCAACATCAGCCAATGCAGAATGAATAATCACATAAATCATTTAACGCTTTTTTTTAGTAAATTGCCCTCGTTTGTCAGTACTTTCATCCCATGACAAAGTAACAAATCCTACAGGTAAAATTAATAATAACCCAGAATCAACACTGTGTCCAACGTCTGCATCTTAATTTATTTTGTAGAAACAGTTCTTGTCTGTTGAGAGTCAAAAAAGTGGTAGCTCAAAGTTCACCCAGGACTGCCGCATTATTTGGAACATCATGGTTCATGTATACTGTACATGTGACAAAAGTTGACAGTCCACTGTTTTTGTTCTATATGTCTATCAAAGCGGGTAAAGGATTAAAGGATACTAGAATGCCATTTTAGCTCTCACTCTCAGCAGATGGGCCCTGTTTCATAAAACTCATTATCAATAACAAATGCTGAATTCTATCACAAATTTGCTCTAAGCCAATCAAATGCCACAATTTCAGTAGCTTGTAACAGTTATTGTAACTTGTTATTGATAACACATTCTATGAAACAGGGACCAGCACCTAAATGACTGTAAGAACACACATGGCGTCTGTTTCATGATCTTTACCTCTCAATGGAGATGTGTCATCATATCCAGTGATATTATTGATCAATAAAGGCTTCCGTGTTGGTAGTTTATTCATGTGATTGATTATATGCCTTCATGTGTCGGCTTTTATTGATTATTAGTCATACATTCAGTCAGTTTTATCTCTGGGGTGAGAAAAAGCCGGAGGGTATCACAAAATGCATCAAAAGCCGAGCAACCTCATAAGAATCATTTATCAAATCACACCCTCAGGGTTATAAAAAGATTGTTATATCATAAACTACATGTATGTATGAACATAAGATAAATTCAGATATTTCCACAAATCATTTTATTTTACTTTTGTTTATTCTCCACAGGCCATAAAATCAATTAAATTTCAGCAGTTGCAAAATCATATTATCTAGTAAGATATAAGACGGATCTAAATAGAGACAGCTAAAGTATATATTTCAAGAAAAAAAACCCCCAGATTTTCTTGCATTATCATGACTTGGAATATTTGCAATTATGCCATCCAATTGTCAAATTACTTTATTTCAATTCTCCATGTAGATCTTTGTAAAGTAATCATTGTTTAATTATTAAAATATTGTTATTGCTTTTGATATATTTTTTTCTCAAACAAAATGTTTTCCTTTGGTATGTTAGTATAAATGATGTTGTTATGTTTTTGTTTATAATTCTCATGCCTCATATCAAATACATATTACAAACAGAGTGACATACCAGGTAGATACATACCATCGCCATGAGAACCAGGAGAATTTGAACGTTTCATCACCGGGGAACTGTTTTTTCCTTTCCTGGTTCGTCCATAACTGCTTGAAAGACAAACAAAAAATAGATTGAACCAATAGAAAATATAATACTAATATGATAAGAACAAAACGAATGTATTTTATTTGAGAAAAATAGTCTTATTAGAAGGGGTATCATTCCCAGAAACATGATTACTTCCTTTAAAAAAAAAAATATGCAAAGAATGGTCCTAAATATGCTTTTTAAATGATATTTATCAAAACCACAAAGAAAAGGGCATGAATTTTAATCATTTTGGTTTGTGTAAACAATTCTCCATGCCATTACACAGTCTAGTTAAATGTATTTGAGTATTTGAGAAGTAAAGCTAGTGTATCGCCTCCGTAAAGGTTGATTTTAGAAGTGGGTGAAATATTCACCACAGTATTACGTCAATGGATCAAAAGACGCAAGGCATGAAACCTAAGCTAGCCTCTCTCTCTTCACGTGTGCAGGAATGACTTCTATCACACATACAACACAGTGAAGTGTACAGTATGTGTTTGTGTACAGCACAGAAGATACAATATGATCATTGTGGTTAGGTTCAACGGTAATTACAGAACATGTCAATCAAATGAAGCAATCCTGATGTTACGTGTACGTATCTATTTGTTTTGTCTTAGGTGTTAACGATGATGTATACACCAATGTAAATCCTTTTTTTTCTTCAGTCAAGGGTGCTAAATTCACATGTTCCTTTCAACTGTAAAAATTGGCAATGAATATGAAATACAATGCTTAATGAGCTATCTACTTTAGATGGGAACATGTTATTGCAAAAATCCATTTGAAAGACATTCCAAATGATGAATGGTTAAAAGATTTTTTTTAGATGAAAACTGTTCTGTTCAAGATGTATTTTCATATTTAGTTTCCTTTATTTGAATAGCTCTTCAAGGGCAATATATTTTTTCCAAGCACATTTCTTCCCCTTTTTTCATATTTCTGTCTCTTTCTCTCTCACTTCCCTCCCCCTCTCCCCCTCCCCTCTCTCTCTATCCCTTCCCTCTGTCTCTATCCCTTCCCTCTGTCTCTATCCCTCAATCTACACCATGTTTAGATCATGCTACATGTATGGATAATTCCACTCAGAACATTAAGATAATGACACATTCTCTCAGAACAAGCAACTTCTGAAAGAGTCTGGCAATCAATTTCAACCAAATAACAGCCCAAAATTCTGCAATTTTATGGATTTTTATGGAAAAATGATACAGTACTGTCTACTTGACAATTTTTTAATTTTTTTTTTGCAATTCACTCTATCCCATCAGTTTACCTCTGTTAATTATGGAAAAACACAGACAGTACAATCCAAAATACATAATTTGGATATCCTTTACAAAAAATCTTTCCCTGATAGAGAAATATGTTTCTGTTTAGTTGTAAGAGCAATGGATAACCGCTAGAAAATAGATCCTATTTGGCATCCTTGATTAATTCCGAAAGGACGGTAAACAACCTACTCCAGCCCTCCCACACCCAGACACTCAAGTGGGACTATGACGAAAGATGAGGTGTATGGTTGGGGGCTGGTAGACTTCAGAGAGGGCAAAAACTGGATGAAATAATAAAGAACTCTGCCCCACGGCTCAACCTGTCATCAGTCAGACCCACGAATATTAGAGTAAAGATAAACGAGAGATGAAAACTAGCAGCCGGAACCCCATAAATCAAGAAAAGGATGAGAGCTGCTAGGGGCTGTGTTGCCAATTTACTGTCTGCTTCACCACAATAGTGATCTTTACAATACCTTACAGCAAAGGCAATGCTATGATTTTTCAGGGGGGGGGGGAGGAGAAGGTTGAATTTTCAACTCTTCTTGCTACGCCCCTGCCTTCATCAGCAACTTGCAGGTGTGACATAAAAAGAAACCTCGTTTAATAGGAACACTGTTATGTAACAAAGTCTCGTTATCAGAAGGTAGTTTGCTGATTTCACTCCTTTGTATTCTTCCTTAGCTCGACTGGTATCTTAACCTTTGGAATACTGCATTCTCTACTTCCCATAGGCTTTATAAAGGGACTATCAACATCCTACAGGCAATAGGTTTCAAAGAACAAACATAAATTTAATAACAACTGTTAAGTCTTCCCATTACAAACCCTACAAACAACCAGGAAAATGAACACCTTATTTGTTCCAACAATGTGGTTCCTTGATCTCAGGCAAATTAGGCAACCAAGCGCTGACTCCTCTCACAGAAAATATTCACCTCCAGCTACGGACAAGACTAATTAATTTAGAATAATATTGGGACTAGTAAAAAGGTACGGTTGTCATAGCAACTTGACATTTGCGGCTTGTAAAGGATGACGCATTGCAGATGCCCTCCTTACAGAGTTGGAGGTAAAGATACGCATGCACAATTAGCTGGCTGTAGAGTTGAAGGACTGCTCGCTATAATTTTTACCTGCATGATTATAAATGAGATAGAATGTACTGAAAACTTGGCCATCCTCCCCAACATGAAAGCAAATGTCTTTATTTAAACAAATTACGGTACTTCGTTTACCTTAAATGTGTTACAGAAGGGAATGAGAAGGAAGTCAATTGAGGTAGAGAGATGAGTAAGAGAGAGTGGGAAAGAGGGACGGAAGATGGAGGGAAGAAGGAGGGAGAAGGGGAAAAGATAGGGATGAGAGAAAGAGATGAAAAATGAAATGGAAGAGAAGGAGACAGAGGGAGGGAGGGAGAGAAAGAAGGGAGGGAGGGAAAGAAGAGAGGGAGGGAGAGAAAGAAGAGAGGGAGGGAGAGAAAGAAGAGAGGGAGGGAGAGAAAGAAGAGAGGGAGGGAGAGAAAGAAGAGAGGGAGAGAGAGAGGGAGATGGAGAGAGAGAAAGCAGAGAGGGAGGGAGAGAGAGAAGAGAGGGAGCCAGAGGCAAGGAGAAGAGACCACATGACAGGCCAAGACAGAAATCTTCAGACAAACAAAATTGGATTGAGGGGATCGAGGACACTATCCGACATTCATGTATCAGGTAAACAGCCTCAAAGGTAGGCAAACATGAAGGAAATTGATGAGAGGGGAGACAGAGGGGAGACGGATGGGATGCCAAATGCGTTTTTTAAAGAGAAAGTAGAGTGTAAGATGTGAAAAATAATTCCTAACGCTAATCAGTCCCGGTCAGGTAGAAATCACCTAGATCAGCTAGACGAGCAGCTTTAAAAAGACAAAACATCCTATTAAATCAGCACACCGCCTCTCAATAGTATTACTTCTTTCAAAACTAGCTGACCAAGACCATGTATCCTTTTTTCTCTCTTAAAGACCTAATATATATTACAAATGCAATTTAGTCAAAAAGCATGAATACAGTCGAGTTTGGTAGCTCTCTAACTTACAACAAAGCGTGAAATCTATTCTGTAGCAGCACTTGGCATGTAAACATCAAGTTCAACATGCACAAAATAAGCCACAAATTTCCATCTTGAAATGTGTTTGGTAGAAAAAGGACACAAATAAAAACAGAAGAAATGTTTGAAAGAACAATGGCATACAAGGAATGAAGGAAAAGAGGAGATATAAGAAAGATAGGAATGGATGGATAATGAGAATTCATAGAGGGATATAAATCAGAAGGGGCAGTTCAACGCAGAGAGAGAGAGAGTATACATGCATGTTAATCACACTGGACAGAGTAGATGGGGACTGATTAGTGGTGCGCAGGAAAGAAGGATCTGCTCCAGACAAGTGGATTTTGATTAGCTAGATTTGAGGTCACAATCTGATGCAGCTTCAGCTTCAGCCAGAAAGATGGAGAGATGGTAAACAAGAAGACACACCGGGGCAGTTCACACAGAGAACAATAAGCGAGATTTCAAAAATATATATTTTTGAAGTGTCATAATCTTTTATTTTATGTGTGAATCAAACGAATCACATTGCACAATGGTGTTTTTGTCAGTTATTTGTTTGATCTTTGCTAGTTTTTTAATATTTTGGGCATAACCTTAATCATTTACCATTTGCTCTGTGGTACAATGAGTGTCAATAGAAATGATAGAAGATTATTCAGGTTATGTATCATATGTATAAACAGGGGCTAAAAGGGTGAGATACGTATTACTTGCTTGAAGCTCACTTTTTCTTATGTGTGAAAGGGCCTACTACCATGGAGTTCATAAAAAGTAAAAGTGAAAGAAAAAGATACAATTCCAGATTAATGAATTTATTGACCTATTTTTCATGACATACATATGCATTTTTGACGGGAAACATATATTGTGTCTGATTTTGCTATCTCTCATCTATTCTTCATCTTGCAAGTTTCTCACCATCCCAAGCTCTACCTTGGATGCTCCGTAAAACTTAAGATAGGTCACGATAAATTGAGCAGTCACTTTGCGGAGACATGCCCCATGCACATGCAACAAGCATCTGAAATTCTAACCACCCCGCCTCAAGTAATTCAGATGGAATATTTAACGAAGTCACTTGGTAGGCGGTGAAGGTCTTCGTACATTCCCTTGAGCACTAAGGCCATCTTCATGGTACCAATAGCGCCAGAGCGTAAAACAAAACTAGTATTAGTAGAAAGAGGGGAGGAGGAAGAGGAGGAGGAGGAGGAGGAGGAGTACAAATAGAAGTAGCAGCAGCAGTAGTAGTAGAAGTAGTAGCAGTAGTAGTACAAATAGTAGCAGTAGTAGTACAAATAGTAGCAGTAGTAATAGAATTATTAGTTGTAGTATTATTATTATTAGAAGTATTAATAGAAATATTAGGGAGCAGTAGTATAAATAGTAGTAGTTGAAGTAAAAGTAGCTAGCAGGAGTAGTAGAAGTAGTTGTAGTAGTTGTAGAAGTAATAGTTGTGTCCGCAGTCATAGCAGTGGCATCATGATTACGAGGAAGAGAAGTAGTTTGAGGAGAGGCAGCAGTAGTGTCTTTAATAACTACAGAAGAAAATACCAATGGAAATCTCAATTCATAAAAATGACATTAACAAATTATTGTACCCGTAAAGCTCAAGTTTGTAATATATTGTCTTATATATTTAGATTTTCAACCAATAAAAAACA